AAATCTCCATGGGTGATGCTTTAAAAATTTCTACAGGTTAGTACTGTAAAGTTACAGAGCAGGTCTAGTGCGAGAATTATTTCTCTTGCTCCGACGTTCGTGGCGATACCTCACGTGTGTGGGTTGAACACAGTTTACATATGTGGGCGTGGCCTACTATGCGTTCACCACTACATGCGAGCACGGGGGGGACGGGAGCACTTAAAACTTTTTTATTATTTAATTTTTGTTTTTGTTTTTTACACTGTCCCTTTAAAAAAAAATTAATCACTTTTATTCTTATCACAAGGAATGCATGCATCCCTTGTGATAGAAATAATTAGTGACAGGTCCTCTTTATGGAGATATGGGATCAATAAGACCTCACATCACTCCTCTGCAATGTAAAGCATTATATCAAAAAAAGCATTGATCAAGTGCAGCCTCTCAACCAGGATGCTCAGGCACCCCTGGGGTGCCTTGGCAAAATGTCTAAAAATTGCCCAAAACTTGTATACAAGCCAGCGGGTGGAAGAAGCCGCCTTTTAGTTACACAAAGCCACAGATCTTCATTGTGCGCCATTACAACCTTCTAGCTATTGGAGTCCTGACAACCAATTACATCATCAGTTGATAAGAAGAACGTCAGTTGCCTGCACAGCATCCCTATTTGACCCTCCCCCCCCCCCCTTTCCGTCAGTGCTGAGGTCACATTAACTCAGTGATGGAGAAAAACTGAGAGAAACACTGTAATATTAGTCAGCACCCGTGTGCAAAAGTGTATTTGATTTGGAAGAATAAATCAACTCCAGCGTTGGGTGTCCTACGTGTGTGGATGCTGCTGTGTTATATAATACTATTAGAATAGTTTTTTACATTTTAGAATGGGGTGCCTCAAGACTGTCCATAATTTTAAAGGGTGCCTTGGGATCTGTCCATTTTAAAGGGTGCCTTGACTGAAAAAAGGTTGAGAAACACTGATTTAGTGCTTTAAAAAGAAAAAAAAAAAAAAAAAAAATGACTGGAACCGGAAGTGACATCGCTTCAGCCCTCCAAGGGCACAGAGATGAGTGGAGGCCATCTTTCCTACACTAATATCTATGCCCAGTGCCAGGATCGTTCAATGGTTTCTCAGGTAAGGCTGAGAACTACCGAGCGTGGGGGACGAGGGGCAGCAATGGCGGGGTTTTTTTCGGCACCTGTATCGGGGCTTTTTTCCCATATAAGCCGACGGCCAATAGGGGTGTTGTCGGCCGAAATGTTTCAGCCACCGAAATTTCGGTGCACCCCTAATATGCACTGCTCCCATACTGCACCCACCTATTGCTATTATTTGATGTACAAAGTTCTCACCAATTTACTATTGCTTGGAGTGTATTGCTAGCTATGGGATAAGGCGGCACCTTTCAGTTTATGCTTGGGTGCTGACATTACAATTGGGTGTGACTTAAAGGAGGTGACCGGCCCTTCAGCTTGGAGAAGGGTAGAAGGATTTGGAGAAGATAGAGGAGTAAAGTGAGATACAAACAAGAAGGCAGGCCCGGGTCAGTCCACCTGTCATCGGCTAAACAATTGGTAGTGGAGGCATGGCATGTACTTCGACTTAGCATGTGAATTCCACTACAATTGCATAAACGAACCTAGAGACAGGGACACATGGGCCCTCCTGTCATTGTTTAACTTATTGATATTGGGGGTGTAATTGCCCTCCTGGTGATTATGTGGGTTGCACCACTACTGCAGGATGTCTACTATCTGACAGCATGACAAAGCATGCTTAGACATGTGGATTACCAGAGGCATGGTGGCTCCATAGTGCGGGTGTAGCAAAGCAAATAGTGTTTATTTTGGCGAATTTTAGTATCATAAGATTAGATGATGCTAAAAGCACTGAGTGCACTTGCTTCAACAAGGAAGCTATGTCACTGTAGTTATTGATGAGTAGCTACTTTAGAATGGTCACTTTTTGGTGTAGATGTTTCTTACTTTTGTGTTTGTTTTGGTCTGGCACTGTTCTTAATAGTCAGCTCACTCACTGAGGTTTTACCCCCCCCCCCCCCCCCACCATGAACTGGATGGAGAGAGGGGCTGTGGGTACTCGATCATTGAACTAGGTTTATTTAAAGACAAGTATGAGTGGAGTTGAAGCCTTCTCAACAGTTGAAGGATGAATTTTTCCTCCCATGCACCTGTTTTTTATCAGTACCTCCAATTAAAGTGTTACTAAACCCAGGATTCTGTATTCACTATATCTCATCTCCCACGGTACACTGAACATGGAAATGCAATTATTGTAGTAACTATAAACTGCTAAATACCTTTTCTCATCAGCAGTTAAAGCAGTCTTGTGGCTTCGATCAGTGTCCAGCTGAGCACTGGTTAAAAGCTTGTAGGAGGAATTTTCATTCTGTCCTATGAGGTTGCATAACCCCTGGCCCTCTGTATGGACAGCACTGATTGGCCCTGTGCTAATCTCATGCCACATGCATCCAACCCCCCCACAAAGGAAAAAAAAAAAATCTCTAGCAATACACATACAACTGAGCATGTGCAGAGTGACTCTTAGAGGTCTGTACTATCAGATGGATTGGAAACAGTAGAAGGGGAGGTTCCCGAGAAGACAGCATCAAAACAGCGTTTTTACACAATGTGGAGGATAAACCCCTTAGGTTCCATAGTAAGTATAACAAGAATGCTTTACTTTACATACAAACTGATTTTACTGTTGTGGGTTTAGTAACACTTCAAGACACGCTATCCATGCTCAGCAAAACCTTACCCTACTCACATACTACAGGACATTTGAGCTCAATACCCTACTCAAAGCTACTGCTAAGAGGGGGTAATGTCTTCTAGTTATATATGCGCTTACTTAATCCTACTCTACAAGTGACCCAACTTCCTTGTAAAGCTAAATGGGAACAGAATGTGGGCATAATCTCTGAGGATCAGTGGGAGACTATTTTACAAAATATTTCCTTTATTTTTTTCACTCTAATACCAAATGCTTGACAAAGTTATACATTTTACACAGAACTTAACGTACCCCTGAAAGGTTGCACAGATATGGTCGCAGGAATTCTCCTCTTTGCCCTAGATGCTCAAGAGATACCAAAACCTTAATTCATATGCTCTGGAGATGCCCTAAATTGTTTTGCTACTGGCATGACATTCTGGATCTGATTAAAGCAATTTGTGCATCAAGTGCCAGATTAAACCCATTGGAAAGCATCTTGGGCTAGCTGGAGATACCAAAGGACAACTGATTACTGACCAAAGCCATAAGTAGACTCCTGTATCTAGTACGGAAATTAATAGCCACAAAGTGGCTTTCCGTTGCTCCTCCAATGGCTTGGAGAGGTGAATGCCATTCTTAGATTAGAGAAAACTGACTTACCAAAAAGGCTTGTCCAAAGAAATTTGAGAAAATGTGGGGGTCATGGATGGGAACTTTCAATATATATATACGCTCGCAGTTTATGGGCACTCACGGGTGTTACTTGTACAGGTATGTACTCACTTTTTGTGCCTTCACTCCTCGGTGATACCTACTAGATATTCCTTAATACAATCTTGGTTCAGTTTGGGTACACTTCCTGATATTTAGTTAATGCAGATGTATTTCTCTACTTTTCTGCACCTATTATATATAGGTTGATAAAAAAAAAAAAAAAAAAAAAACTAAACTGTTGTATATTAGCTGTTTCATACCACTTTATACTGCATGTAATTGTCCAGCGGGGAAAACCAAATGCTGCATTTTACTATGTTCTGCTGAGGCTTACCGCCACTTGTCCTATTTCCCTTGTCGTATGCTTCTACGTACATTTAAAACTGAATTTTTTCAATTAAAAAAACGTCTGACCTAAAAAAAAATAAATAAATAAAAAAAATAAGCACAAGTATACGTAGATTAGCTTTGAGGAAGAGGGTTTGTTCTTCGAAATGACTAAGCTGACTTCAAAAGTACCTGTGGGATCTGCAGTTGTGCTTGGGATGATCCCTTATCTGCACGTCAGCACTGGGTGCTGCTCCTCAGTTATCCCCTTGGTGTGCCATGTTTTTCTTCCCACAACTCCCGGGCCAGATACCGGGCAGCTATTTCCATATGGAGGTGTTATTAGACTGCTCTCCAATAGCTAATTTGTTTACAGACTTTATATTGGGCATCTGCTACTGAAGAAATGAGATTATTGTCACGGAATGCAATGCGCCAAAGGATGTACCCATTAATATATTTTTCAAATATTTGGTAAAATGAAATTTATACATGTATTATTATGTGAATATCATATAGATTGTATACAGATATATGGTAGTGTTTACAAATCCGCTTGCCTCTTTACAAATTGCTTTATTTATGTAAAAAGATTTGTATCTATTGTGCAATAAATCATTTTATGCAAATGCTGTACCTCATTTAAAGTTCCATCAAATAGGTTCTTGTTCTTTGCCTAGTTATTTATTGCTTACTGTTGAAGTTATGTGTCAAAGTAGATATCTGGCATTTGGTTTTCTTCATGTATTACGATTTAAATTCCCAGATCATGCTTGCTCATGCAAGATAATGCTCTAGGCAGATTTCACTGGCGCATTGTTCAAGAGGGCCCATCCATCCTGGTTCACATTACAAAAACAAACAAAACAAAAAAAAAACAAGAAAAACAAAAAACAGCCAACTCCTTCTTAGACTTTTTTCCTTACTGAACCATGGATATGTCAGAAAGTCAAGCAAAAGCACAATGCTCTCTGCACTTCTTTCATGACACATCAGAGGAGGTAGAGTCTTCCTAAGGGTTATGCACTATACTTTGTAACATAGCCATGGTGCAATAACCGTTTTTATGGGAAAAAAAATAACCTGATGAAGGTGTGTGTTTCTCTATTTGCATGGTTTCCCAGATGATGCTTTCCTTTTACCTTCCAATATCAATCGAAATTCCAAAATAATGTAATTTTTAAAGCAATGCACAAAAAGCAAAAAAAAAAAAAAAAAAAAAAAACTACCCTTGTTTTCTTACCATTGCTAATGAGTCCATTGTCACTCTCCCAGTTCAGCTCAAAGCTGTAGAAGCAGATCATATACTCCAGATCCATAAGTATCACTGCAAGACTGTTGAGTTGGTCAGCCAGCCAGAAATCTGCAAAACCCACCTTATGGAAGGGGGCAGTGAACACTCGGAACTAGTCATGAGAATAAAAATACAAAGAAGATCAAAGGCAAGAAGAGGAAAAAAACACAACAACAGAAACAAAGTACACATGAGAAGGGTGTTCAGAGATATATCAACCCAAACACTCCAGTTATACAAGATTCTCCACCATCAATTGATTGGAGAATCCGCATCAAAGTATGAAATTGGTAATGTAGGGTGGCCTCTTCATTGACACAACTATAATGAAAAAGTTAAAAACTGTGGAAGTCAAACACTTTGGCCCTTCAGATATTTAAATTACCACACATTGTTAATGCACATGGGAATAAGGCAGTTGATGCCATTTGAATTGGCTACCAAGGCAAAGCAAGGGTCCCAAAAAAAACAAACAAAACTACACAACCTTTTTTTAATGCTGCACACTATAATCCACAGCATATATGCTCTGGTGCGCTGCAGTGCAGGTGCGTTGCCTGCTACTACTGCAGTGTGTTAGTTTGTGTACTGCAGTACTTTACAGTAACATGACTGCGAATGAGCCTTTTCATGTTGTGCAATGGAATATAAACCAATAAACAGCCCATGAAGTGATTACAGCATAGAGAAGAAAACCCTCTACTATAGCATGGAAACAGATTTTATTTGTTGTCCTGTTTCAGACATTCAGTTGTGATATTCTGAAGTTACTTGTATAATATTCGGTGAAACTGTAAAAAACAGTGACACAATAAAAAAGTGGAAGGATTAGCCAAACAGCTTCTGTCCACTAGCTCACCAATTTGGTGCGGATCACTGTACCTTAAACAAATATAGAAAAAAGGAGATTTCAGGAAAGGCCCTTAATAAAAAGAAGACTCACATTGCAAAAATTAGTCTCCACCCGTCCCCATTAAAAACATGACAACGTTGTCAATTAACCACCTCCCCCCCGCCATATAGTCCAATGTCGGGCGCAAGGTTGTTCTCTCGTTCTGGGTAAACGTCATATGACGTCCTCCCATTCTCACCGTGCATGCGTGGCTCCGGGAGCGTGCAGCGCGGCGATTGGTGGTGCACTATGTCCCTATCCACGGAAAGGGCCGAAGATGTCGGCTCGGTCGTGTGATCAGCTGTGTCCAATCACAGCTGATTACATGTAAACAGGGAAATGTTGGTTATCGGCATTTCTCTCCTCTCGAGCTGTCACGCTGACAGCTCGTGAGGAGAGGAGAGTCCGGTAATCGGCATTCCTCAGAGGGGACATCTACACTGATCATCAGGGCACTGATGATCAGTGTGGCCCCAGAAGTGGCACCTGTCAGTGTCCATCAGTGCCAGCTGTCAGTGCTGAACAGTGCCACATATCAGTGCCTACCAGTGCACAGCAATGCCACATATCAATGCCAATCTGAGCTGCATTTCAGTGTCACCCATCAGTGCCAGTCAGTGCCGCCTATCAGTGCCAGTCAGTGCCGCCTATCAGTGCCAGTCAGTGCCACCTATCAGTGCCAGTCAGTGCCGCCTATCAGTGCCAGTCAGTGCCACCTATCAGTGCCAGTCAGTGCCACCTATCAGTGCCATATATGAGTGCTGCCTTTCAGTGCCCATCAGTAATGCCTGTCAATGCTCATCAGTAATGCCTGTCAATGCCCATCAGTGCCACCTACCAGTGCCTCCTCATCAGTGCCCATCAGTGAAGCCTATCTGTGCCCATCACTGCAGCCTCATTAGCGCACATCAGTGAAGGAGAAAAATCACTTATTTACAAACTTTTATAACAAAAACTAAGAAAAAAACTTTTTTTTTTAATTTTCAGTGGTTTTTGGTTTAAGAAAAAATAAAAAACCCAGAGGTGATTAAATACCACCAAAATAAAATTGTCACAAAAAAATGCTAAAATGGGTACAGTGTTGCATGACCGCGCAATTGTCATTCAAAGTGTGACAGCGCTGAGAACTGGAAATTGGCCTGGGCAGGAAGGGAGTATAAGTGCCCTGTAGGCTAGTGGTTAAAATACGTAGTCCGGACACACATGATTCACTGAATGGCTCTGTAGGAAAAGAAAGTTGAACAGATCAATCCGTAATAGGGTGGTCACTGCGAGTGATAAAAACTCTAGGTAGTAGCCAGCTGTATTAACATGGAACCAGCTGGAGGAAATTAATAAACAGTCAGTTGCTTGTTGTGCAATGCAGTCAGGTGGAAGCAGGGCTACCATAAGTATGGAGCACTTCCAGTATCTCACATAAGTGAGTACACCCCTCACATTTTTGTAAATAAAGCGGTTTAGACATTAATGGTTGTGTGTTGAGTTATTTTGAGGGGACAGCAAATTTACACTGTTATACAAGCTGTACACTTATTACTTTACATTGTAGCAGTGTCATTTTTTCAATGTTGTCACATAAAAAGATAAAATATTTACAAAAATGTGAGGGGTGTACTCACTTCTGTGAGATACTGTACATAGAATACGAGGCTATATTGGTGTACCCCCAAGAAGATTCAGAAATGTTGAGTTGTGCCAGCTGACTTAATGTGGTACAAGATAGCCATGAAGATTAGGGAGGATATCCATACTGCTTTTCCAGCACCACTCACATAGCTCCATGTGTTAATGGCTGCGACTGCAGGAGCTTGATCGTCGTGGGGGGGGGGGGGGGGGGGGGGGGGGGGGGTGAAAATAGCACCGGAGCTAGTATCCATGAAGTGAATTGACTGCAGATTTGATGACAGGTAATTAGAGGTGGTAATGGAGTTTGTTGTGCGGTGTCCAGATAAAAGTATGGACAGACCAGACTATTAAGTATGTAGGAAAAGTTCCAACTCACGTGCAGGCTGCTTTCACTGTCACCACTTCATACTCTGCTGAATGGTTTACGCTCCCGTGGTGAACTTGACATCCAAGAACCCAGTTCGCTCCATCCCCGCTTATTTCGGAACTCGGTGGAAACCGCACATGCGCACTACGGATTTTGCCGGTCCTCTGCTCAGTTCCGCCAGTGATTCAAGTGATGCAAAGCTAAACATCAGGTCACCATCCTGGGACATGCTAAGGTGGGGAGCTACTGTTGACGCATTTCACCCACTTGATTTGGACACGGGCTTCCTCAAGACCTTTGAGTTCTATGTTACTGCACCCGGCTACTACCTAGTGTCATCTGTTTGCATGCTGGTAAATGGGGTCTCTATCCAATGGTCACCCGCAGTGACCACCCTATTACGGATTGATCTGTTCAACTTTCTTTTCCTATGGCCAATACAATGTGTACAATAACAGCCACCCCCAATACTGTGCCTTTACACTGCATCTTTATTTACTATTAGATTATTACCTAATTTAAACACTCAGACCTGAGTGGAGGCAGTGTTAGTATAAGACACAGAAGAGAGTGTTGTTCACTTGGGTGCACAGCCACTTAGTGAATCATGTGTGTCCGGACTCCCTATTTTAATTGACAAAGTTATCATGTTTTTAATGGTGACAGGTGGAGACTAATGTTTGCAATGTGAGTTTTCATGATGTTTGACTAAAAATCAAACTTTATTCAATCAACACAACTTGAAAATCAAACTACCTGGGTCACTATTGGTACCATCTTCTTTTTTAAGGGCCTTTCCTTAAATCTCCTTTCTTTTTTTTTTTACTGAAGCCTGGGTGCAAACTTGACCTTAGCCTTTGTAAGGGTACCTTGAAAATTACATACTGCAATCCACACATATCAAAAACTGATGGGAAAGTAAGTTTAGAGAGTAGAGGAAAAGGCTTTTGTGAAATGGCTTCTATAACACTCACCAATAACTTAAGGAGCCAGAATCGAGACTTGTAGTAGAAGGTCTTCGTGGGGTTGATGAGAAAGAGCAGCATGAAGCCATACAAAACCAGTGGATTCACCTGCATTGGCAAATAGATATGATGTCCGAAGACACAGGTGAATAGACTGAGGCACCACAGCATGCCAAGGAATCCTGCAAGCTAAAACACAGACAGAACTGTTACAGAAATAAGTGCATTAAACACAGAATAACTGACAAAACAATGTAAAGCTTTGTTTACATTAATGCTGTATATATTTTTATATTATATATTTATTTTATGTTAAGTCTTTACATCTTTACATATGCAAATTATCAGCTCACATGTTGAATTGTAAGACAACAGAAGTAACAGAATGCATCATTTACATAAAAGGCCATTGTGGCAATACACTATCAGGTCTTTCACCCAGGACAAGGGAACATCAATACTCTATGCCAAGTTCAAAAAAAATATTCACACCTTCCTTTGCTTATGCAATTTTCCTCCTAAAATAACATTAATTGTAAAAGGCTTCCACAATCTCTTGGTGGTCAACAAAAGCACAAAGTTAGAAAAATCACGGCTATAAAATTTCCAGTACACTAGCTGGAAGATTTCTGCAATTAAATTCCCAGCTCTGCCCATGACACATAATAATCTTTTAGCCTCTGGCTGAACTAGGTATTCCAGGCTCCCTTGTTAAATTTCACAGACCTGAACTTAATGTTCACCTTTAGCACCTTTGGTGTTACATGTCACGGTGCAGCCCCCCCCCCCCGTGACAGGGGGGCAGTGGTTCCTCTCCCCCACAGCCACTGTAGCATTATAGAATTAGCATAACTGTGCAGGACTCCCCCCACACATCCGCATCATGCAATCACAGCAACTTGTGAATGAATGAACTACAAGTTTTGTCTGCCACCACGGCAGATGGGTTGTAGTTCTCAATTAACCACAAGGGTGCTGATGATTGCACTTGTAATTCACTGACACTTGCTCCAGCTTTCCAACAGAAAACCCATAGAGGTGTGGGCAAGAAAGCTGAAGGCAGGAGTCTGCAGGAGCCTGACATTGCACACACGATCTACTGATCGCAGGTGCAATGCTCTGCAGGCTTCTGTTAAAAAACTAAAACAAAACGCTAACAAATGCACGTTTTATTTCCTCTAAAAACATGGGGTGGGAGCCTGGCTTGGAGGCGCTGAAATGGCACCACTCTTATAATGGAAACACCCATTAGATCCTTTTATATGTTTGACACAGACCTGGAACAACTATACAAATAAGGATTTCTGATTTTCCTCATCTACATACTTGTTCCAGGACAGCGAGTCAATGTATTGAAGCCATTGCTTCCATGGCAGCCCTGTATTTCTCTCTCATAACAGGTTTAAATTACATACATGCAAACACTACAGCACTGTTCCAATCTAAAAGAGAATTACACAGAATATAAGTCAACCCCGCCAGGCAAAAAAAAAAAAAAAAATGTAATGTTTACGTTCTAATGTGTGCATCAATCTTGAACAGACAGGTTAATTTATATGTTCAGAGGTAGGCATTGCATTCTCTGAAGCCTTCAGTGTAACCACAGAAACAGTATTTTCTAGAAAAAAAGCTTCACTTGTGCTGACAATAGTACTTACACTATTAGTAATGTATATAGCAATACCCTGTTGTATAGGCATCACATACACAGGTATAACGGAAAGTTATATATCTCATGACCATAGAAAGGTGACATGGGCCTCGTGTACACAGATGCAAAAAAGCCGCTTTCGCAGGTCTTTGGCTTTTATTTTCACACCTGAACACACCAGCATGTTAGCTAAGGTGCACACGCACATACAGACGTTTAACAGCATTTTTATGCACAGCATTCAGAAGTGAGAAAAATGTTCCTGGAGAAGTGTTAATTTGTTTTTTTTAGTACAAATGCACCCAAACATGTATAAATGCACTTAAATCCATACTGATGGGCATACATTTATGCTAATGGATAGAGACACGAATATTCTAGCCAATAGAATGAGTTTATGCACAAACAATTCCAAATGCCATATGCAAGTAAATGTGCTTAAACACAAGTGAAAAGACACAAGATTACAGGCATTTTCTGCCAACTTCCAGCAGCATAAATTTATATGCCAGTGTGTCTGAGGCCATACATACAGTGCATTCATAAAGTATTCAGACCCTTTCCATTTTTTCAATTTTGTTGTGTTGCAGCCAGATAAAACAGTTGCTTTAACTAATTTTTTTCTCTCACACAGTACCCCATAATGACAAAGAGAAAACAGAACTTTAGAAATGTTTGCAAATTTATAAAAAAGGAAAATTGAAATATCACATTGGCATAAATATTCAGACCCTTTACAATCGCACTAGAAATTTAGCTCAGTTGCCTCCCAATTCTTGATCATTGCAGAGATGTTTGTACACCTTGACTGGAGTCCACCTGTGGTAAATTAAACTGATTGGACATGATTTGGAAAGGCACACACCTCTCTATAAAAGAGCTGACAATGCATACAGGTGAAACTCGAAAAATTAGAATATCGTGCAAAAGTTCATTTATTTCAGTAATACAACCTAAAAGGTGAAATAATATATGAGATAGACTCATTACATGCAAAGCAAGATAGTGCAAGCTGTAATTTGTCTTAATTGTGATGATTATGGCTTACAACTCATGAAAACCCCAAATCCACAATCTCAGAAAATTAGAATATTACATGCAATCAATAAAACAAGGATTGTACATAGAACAATATCGGACCTCTGAAAGTATAAGCATGCATATGTACTCAGTACTTGGTTTGGGCCCCTTTTGCAGCAATTACTGCCTCAATGCGGCGTGGCATGGAAGCTATCAGCCTGTGGCACTGCTGAGGTGTTATGGAAGACCAGGATGCTTCAATAGCAGCCTTCAGCTCTTCTGCATTGTTCGGTCTCATGTCTCTCATCTTTCTCTTGGCAACACCCCATAGATTCTCTATGGGGTTCAGGTCAGGCGAGTTTGCTGGCCAATCAAGCACAGTAATCCCACGGTCATTGAACCAGGTTTTGGTGCTTTTGGCAGTGTGGGCAGGTGCCAAGTCCTGCTGGAAAATGAAGTCAGCATCCCCATAAAGCTCATCTGTGGAAGGAAGCATGAAGTGCTCCAAAATCTCCTGGTAGACGGTTGCATTGAGCCTGGACTTAATGAAGCACAGTGGACCAACACCAGCAGATGACATGGCTCCCCAAATCAACACAGACTGTGGAAACTTCACACTGGACTTCAAACATCTTGCAGTGTGTGCCTCTCCATTCTTCCTCCATACTCTGGGTCCTTGGTTTCCAAATGAGATGCAAAAGTTGCTCTCAACAGAAAAGAGGACTTTGGACCACTGAGCAACAGACCAGGTCTGTTTTTCTTTAGCCCAGGTAAGACGCTTCTGACGTTGTTTGTTGTTCAGGAGCGGCTTGACAAGAGAAATACAACATTTGAAGCCCATGTCCAGGATCCGTCTGTGTGCGGTGGCTCTTGATGCACTGACTCCAGCCTCAGTCCACTCCTTGTGAAAGTCCCCAACATTTTTGAATGGCCTTTTCCTAACAATCCTCTCTAGGCTGCGGTCATCCCTGCTGCTTGTGCACCTTTTTCTTCCACACCTTTTCCCTTCCACATAAATTTCTATTAATGTGCTTTTTTTACAGCACTTTGGGAACATCCAACTTCTTTTGCAATTACCTTTTGAGGCTTTCCCTCCTTATGGAGGGTGTCAATGATGGTTTTCTGCACAACTGTCAGGTCAGCAGTCTTTCCCATGATTGTGATTCCTACTGAACCAGACTGAGAGACCATTTAAAGGCTCAGGAACCCTTTTTGCAGGTGTTATGGCTTAATTAGCTGATTAGAGTGGGACACTTTGAGCCTAGAATATTGCACCTTTTCACAATGTTCTAATTTTCTGAGATTGTGGATTTGGGGTTTTCATGAGCTGTAAGCCATAAGCATCACAATTATGACAAATTACAGCTTGAACTATCTTGCTTTGCATGTAATGAGTCTATCTCATATATTAGTTTCACCTTTTAAGTTGCATTACTGAAATAAATGAACTTTTGCACGATATTCTAATTTTTCGTGTTTCACCTGTACTGTATCAGAGCAAAAGCCATGAGGTCAAAAGGAACTGCCTGCAGCACAAGGGCCTCCATAATTCTCAAATGGAAGACCTTTGACACAACCAGGACTCTTCCAAGAGCTGATCACCCAGCCAAACTGAGCAACCAAGGGAGAAGGGCCTTAGTAAGGGAGGTGACTAAGAACCCGATGGTCAGTCTGATTGAGCTCCAGAGAACGTGGAGATGGGACAAAGTTCCAGAAGGACAACCATTACTGCAGCCCTCCACCAATTTAGGCTTTATGCAGATTGGCTAGATGGAAGCCTCTTCTCAGTGCAAAACACATGAAAGCCCACTTGGAGTTTGCAAAAAAAATTTGCTCCTACCGGGCTCTTACTAAGGCCCTACTCCCTCAACTGCTCAGTTTGGCTGGGTAACTTGCTCTTGGAAGCGCCCTGGTTGTAGGTAAATGTAAAAAATAAGGATATGGATGCTCTAGTGATGGGAAACGCTAGTTTTGGGGAAACAAATCATCATGTATCGGAATGTATTTTCGATATTGCACCAAATCAAAATATTTCTCAATATTGTGACCTGTAAAAAAAAAAAAAAAAAAAAAAAAAAAAAAAAAAAAAAAAAAAAAGAGTCTGACAGAGGTGGGCAAGAACTCTAGTTTCTACAAATGGAGCCTGGAGACCCAGAATGCAACTCAGCTCACATGTTTGCATTCTTGAGACAAAGCCACAATTTGGCCAGGGCTGCAATGTGTTCATTGTAAAAGACAAAATATACTGGACAGAAGAGATAAAACACAGGAATGAACACTATTTATAGCAGTGTATATCCCAGTACAACAGGTTGCTTCCGATCAGGTCACAAGGGAATGTCCATTACTTTATGCGCAAATGGCAACGCTGTTATAGCAACCAGGCAGGCAAGGCTGCACACATAAAATTCAAAGCCTTTCCAGTTTGTCTGAGTTACTTTCTAGACTATGTATTCTGTAATTGGCCATCAATTATTCATTATACAATGCTTAATAGGGGTATCCACTGGAGATAAACTTAATTTGCTGTCTTGAATGTGCCGCCTGCAGCTTTTACTATATAGCCTGTTTTTACATTCTAGTGCCATCCTCTCTTTTTAATCATATGTTTGTTTTATCAGGTGGAAATATTTCATCTTAGGATAGCAGTGTTTGTTTAGATCAAAGTACATTCATTGAGAACAGCAATGTGAACTGTGCTACAAATTTAATATTAAGACGGGTCCATAAACCATGCGTCAATCAGTCTGAGCCAAGTTATAAAATTAGGCTACATTCACATGGGTAATTAGCACTACAGCTAATGACAAGTGGCAGGAATCGTCTAATTCCTGAAGCAGTTTCTACCACCTGTGAGCAGTTAGTTGTGGCTGCTGAGCCCTTTATGCTCCAATGATAAAGTGGCAGCTGCAGCTATCCATGGTTGTCTGTCCAGCCAGCGATTACCTGCACTGAAAACTGCTGGATGCCTTTTGTGTGCTGCCTGCACACAAGTAATCACTGGTTGGCCATGGATAGCTGCGGTTGCCACTGACCTGCCACTGAAGTGTATAGGGCTCAGCAACCGCAGCTAGATGCTCACAGGTGGCAGAAAGCGCTACAGGAACCAAAAGATTCCTGCTGTGGTAATTCGCAGTGGTGCTAATCGCCTGTGCAAATGTAGCCTAAATCTCCAAAACTGTCCCCATCATCTACTTACCTTCACTCCCCCACCTCTACATTCAGTGTCAGTAGCTGAAGGAAATACCTTATGGGTATGAAGCAAAATGTGGCTCATTCTATGTGACAGTGCTGGCCAAACACTGCAAGTTTGGTCACATGCGAGTCCACAGCCCTGAGTAAGCTACAACTCTAGTGACTTGTAGCTTACAACAGAATTTCCTTTGCTCCTGTTACTGAACAGAGCAGTGGGGGATTGAAAAGGAGGGCTAAATTAAAGCGTTCACACATGGCGGCATCACTCGAAACAAAGAAATGCAGGAGGCATGTCCTAAAATAAACTTGAAAGGCCAGACAGTCAACAATCAAAAAATCATAGCAAATGTCAGGGGAATTGAGTAACTGACAAATGATTTGTTTAGCGCTGTCATTTGTGACACTATACAACATATGCATTGCAACAAAGGATATGACTTGTATGTATAACTTTTGAATGTCTGTCCAGCATAATAGGAGTAATTAAAATCCGCTGTTGGAGTAATAGCCCTGGCCATAGAAGCTTACAGTCAAAGACTAAAGAAAACAGGTCCTCTTTAAGAATTGTTTCTAGTCAAATATAACATACTCAATTTGCAGACTAGCAATAGAACCGTCACATTACCTGCCATGGTTGTCTCCATTTGTATGGTATATTCATTGCCATTGTGAAGACGTGTATGGATTCTTACCTCAAACAGATGCTGATGTGAGAGGTTGTTACGAGGGTTGAGCTCAAATATGAGGACGTGATTGACGCCAGCTTGTCTCCATCCATAAGTATTGATGCCCAGAAGAAAAAGGAATTCCACCAGCAGGAAACCACCCCTGTAAATGCGCACCAAGGGCCAGACCTCAGTAATTTTATACCTCTCGTAACCTGCAGAAGGAAAAAATTATTAATGAGTTGTCTCCTACATTCAGAGCAACCCAGACATCTGCAGGGATACTACAGCCAAATAGCTTCTTTAGAGCATTTCCTATCTTACCCATGGGATCAGAGGTTTTTCCTAGTTTTGACAGGTACTCGCTTCCAATTCCGGCCAGATCGCTGTGGCGATTTGTGCGGAAGTTCGTCCCCCTCCTCCTTCCCCACACAGCCTTCAGGGACACATCACAGGTACCAGAACACTGCAGGACCATTCACAAAGTGCATGCACAGCAGGAAGCTGGCTGTGAAGCCAAAAGTCTTCACCATCAGTTTTCCTTACCTAAGATGTTAGCACTTGCATCCTAAGCAGATTGAAGAATCGGCTCTCGTGAGGACATCGGTGAATCCCTGGACAGGCAAGTATCCTTATATTAAAAGTCAGCAGCTACAGTATTTGTAGCTGCTGACAAAAGACTGGAGCTCCTCTTTAACAATGGCATGTTTCCATAGGTTTATGACTAACTGCCCATACACATTCAGATGAACAAACCGAACAACTTGTCAGCTGTCAGTGGCCTGATCCACAACAGATTTGGCTGTCAACAATGACAGCTAAAGCTGGAAGATATGCCAACAGACTGTCCACCCTATGGGCTAAAATTAACACAACTGCACATGAGCCACAGAAACATACCTGTTGTATTTAACTTTTTACTTGAATGGCTTTACGTTTGAGTAGGTATCTTAACCGCTTCCCAACCACCCTATAGCAGAATTACTGCTACAAGGAGGCAGGGCTGCACAAAATCATGTATATTATACATGATTTTGTATTTTCGGGTAGATAGCATGTGCCCTACCCATACCGCCATTGGCAGCTGCAGCTGTCAATAAGCGAGTCTCAGCAGGAGCTTCCCCGCCAGCACCCGGCGATCACTGAGGAACACTGACAGAGGAGAGGTCTGTATGTAAACAATACAGATCTCTCCTGTCAGCTCCAGCAAGCTGCTTTGTATTTCTCTGCATAGCAGAGCAATACAATGCAGCGTGCTTACACAGCACACAGTAAAACGCACACAGTTAACCCTTTTATCGCCCCAGATGTTAACCCCTTCCTGCTTAGTGTCATTAGTACAGTGTCAGTGCTTTTTATTAACACTGATCACTGTATTAGTGTCACTGGCGATGTCAGACAGTTAGTCAGTTCCCCCCAGTGTCAGAATGCCCTCCGCAGTCCCGCTATAAGTTGCTGATCGCCGCCATTACTAGTAGAAAAAAAAAAAAAAATCAATCCAATATATATACCACCAATTGTAGACGCTATAACTTTCACATAAACCAATTAGTTTACACGTATTGGGATACATGTAGCAGAATACATTTTGGAAATTTGATTTTTAAAATTTTTTTACTAGATATGTTTTATAGCAAAAAGTAAAAAACATAGTTTTGTTAGTTTTTTAAAATGGTCGGTCTTTTTTTGTTTATAGCGCAAAAAAGTAAAAATACCACCACAAGAAATCTCCGTTTGTGTGAAAAAAAGGACATAATTTTAGTTTGGGTGTAGTGTTTGCATGACAGCGTAATTGTCAGTTTAAGCTAACGCAACGCCGTATCACAATAAATGGCCTGGTCAGGAAGGGAGGTAAATCCTCTGGAGGACAATTGGTTAATCTCAGCTTGTGCCAGCACATATAAAGCCAACTGACCTTAATTTGCCTATAAAATGAAGGTGTATTGGTGCCTTTTGAGAAACGAGAACCCAACTGGCAAACAAACTTTCCCTTAGGGCAAAAGGACAAGTCATCTTAAAAAAATAAGTCCTATGTTGGATGGTGTAAGCTCAATGTTGGGTTAAATTCTACCTCCTGCTGGGCAAGTGACAGTGTACAAGCCTGGCAACTGGCCACTTAGACCAGGTTCACACTTGTGCGTGTGTTTCTTCATGCATACCTTGAAAATATATTGTTGAACAGTAAAAGAATACAATGGATATCTGAACATGTGGTGTAAAATAAAATGAAATGCTACAAAGGCTGGTGCAAAAAGAAAATAGTATTTTCTTTTGCAACCAATAACATGATAATTTCCAAATCTGCATTACGACGACAGCTGGTACATGATTCATTGCTATAGCAACATCTCCACTTTCCTTGCTACAGAATTCAAACATATCATTTTCTGCCCTGATACATTTTACAGCTTACCTTGGACACAAGGCTGCATAACTAAGAGAAAGGTATGGCAAATATATATATACACAGACACACACACACATATATATATATATATATATATATATATATATGAAATTTTCCACATTTTGTCATGTTACAACCAACAACCTAATTTTATTGGGATTTTATGTGATAGACCAACACAAAGTGGCACAAAATTGTGAAGTGGAAGGAAAATGATAAATGGTTTTCACATTTTTTTTTACAAATAAATATCTGTAAAGTGTGGTGTGCATTTCTATTCAGCCCTTGTGGGTCAATACTTTGTAGAACCACCTTTTGCTGCAATTACAGCTGCAAGACTTTTTGGGGATGTCTCCACCAGCTTTGCACATCTAGAGAGGGACATTTTTGCCCATTCCACTGCAAAATAGCTTAAGCTCTGTCAGATTGGATGGAGGGTGTCTGTGAACAGCAATTTACAAGTCTTGCCACAGATTTTCAATTGGATTTAGGTCTGGACTTTGAATGGGCCATTCTAACACATGTATTATTTGATTTAAACCATTCCATTGTAGCTCCGGCTGTATGTTTAGGGTTGTTGTCCTGCCCCAGTCTCAAGTCTTTTGCAGACTAACAGGTTTTCTTCCAAGATTGCCCTGTATTTGGCTCCACCTATCTTCCCATCAACTTTGACCAGCTTCCTTGTCCCTGCTGAAGAAAAACATCCCCAAAATATGATGCTGCCACCACCATGTTTCACAGTGAGTATGGTGTGTTCAGGGTGATGTGCATTGTTAGTATTCCGCCACACATAGCATTTTGCTTTTAGGTGTAAAGTTCAATTTGTCAAATTTTTTTTTTTTAAATTATATCTTTTATTAAATTTTTTCCTTACATAGATCAACATATCAAATTTATCCCGCATCCCTCATTAAATTACCCCTGTCCATGTAGCGCCTTCCATCTATTTCCTTCCACATTTTCCTGTACGTCCATATCCCCTTTTCTCTTTTATTCTTTTCCTTTTCCCCCCTCTCCTCCCTTTCTTTTCCCTTTCTCTCCTCTTTCTCCTCCCTTTCTTTTTCTTCCTCTTTCCTTTTCCTGTCCTTTTACTCTCCTTCTATACTTCCTCTTCTCTTGCCTCTCTTTTCACCTTCCTTTCTCCCTTTGCTCTTTCCTTCCTCTTTCTCTTCATCCCCTCTCTCCTCCTTCTCTCTGCCCCCCCCCCCCCCTTTCACTTAACTTCATATACACACCATCCGGGTGTTCAATTTAAATTCTCCTCCCTCAGATTACCGAGTATCACCACTTCAAGATATTTTTAGATGTCTTACAGTCGTACCATCTACCCCACTCCTTGCTAAATTTTTCCATTTTATCCTCATCTATATGGTATAGCTCCTCCATCTTATATACTCAACCCCTATTTATCCAGTCCTGTGCCTGCCAAAATCTGTGAATGAGTCCTTTGGCTGCACTAATTAGATGGTATAATATACTATTTTTATATTGTTTCACTGATATCTCTGACTTGTAAAATAAACACACCCATGGATCCTTCTGTATGGTGATCCCCAATATCTTCTGATTGGATTATCTTGCCAAAACACCTGTACCTTAAGCCAATCCCACCATATATGTGCCATTGTTCCCCGAGACCAACACCCCCCTCCAACATAATGATAAAACTTGTACTCTTTGTCTATGTGCCACACTCGTTGTGAAATACCATCTCGTTACACATTTAGAATTCATTTAAACTGTGTTCATACTCATCACCCCGTGTATTAATTTAAACATTTGATTTTTCTGTTGCTCACTCATTTTTTTTGTTCCCAATTCCTTTTCCCATTTCTCCAAGAATGGCGAAGGACCAGGTCCCATCAGTTCAGTGAGGATTTTATAGATCCTAGAGGTAGCATGTTTTTGAGCTATATTAGAACTCAACGTTTTTTCAAATGGGAGCATGTCCTCCGGCATCCTTAGTGGCTGATGGAGCATTATGACAATGTTTTAATTCATAGTATCTCAATTCATCCAAACTGAAAAATAAATCTTTTCTACTCTAACTCTTAAAAAGTGTGCAACTTCCCCTTGTCTACTATATCCCTTAAACGTGCATCTCTATCTTTAAACCACTTCCCTGAAATATTATCTTTCCCTAGTGGGAAAAACTCCCACCAGGGGAATCAACAGTGAATTATACCAACCCCTTTGCTTGTGCATTCTATCCCATACTCTTAACACATCCCGTGTCAACGTGCTACTATTTTCATCCAAATCACAAAACTTTTGTGGTATCCAAATGATCCTTTTTAATTGTGCATCAATTACCTTCCATTTTAACCCAACTTTTCTCCTGTGAATTATATGTCCAATCAACAACTCGTGACAATATTACTGAAATATAGTAATTCTTAATATTGGGCAGGTTTAATCCCCCTTTCCCTTTGTTATTGCACAGGAATTCATACTTAATTCTTGGTTTCTTATTAGCCCATATAAACTTAAGCATCAATATTTTTTATTAACACAAAGAAGGATCCTGGTATAAATACCGGGAGCATATGGAACTTATACAATATTTTTGGGACTATCACCATCTTAACCAAATTTATACGCCCGACCCAAGGAGACCCGACCCCCTGAGAGTCTTCTCAACTCATCCTTTCTCTCATTTATTAATCGCATGCAATTTACCTGACATATGTTCTTTGTTGAGGGGGGTTAACTTTATTCCTAAATATCCTAATTCCCGCTCCCTCCAAGTGAATGGGAAGTCTTTTTGTAGGGTCTGCATCTCTGTCTTTGAAAAGACCCAGATTTTTTTGAGAACCAGATTGCTACTCCTTTAGCCTTCGTTATTGGTGAATTTGCGTAATACTAGGTTGGATAGTGCCTCGCAAATAACTTAACATTAGTATCATAAGATAAATATGTCTCTTGTAAAAACACCACATCTATAGAATGTTGGTACACTTTCCCGAGAATCTTATGTCTTTTAGTCGGAGAGTTAAGCTTTCACATTATAAGTCATAAGATTGATCGAGCTCATATCTGTTTGCCATTTCTCTTCTCTACGTTTCATATCAAAGAGAAAGAGACAGACTAATCAAATCATGGACTCTCTCCCAACTCGAACTGTCCCAGCCACCCTCCTCCCCCCTACCCCCCCTTCCACTACACTTCCCACCCACCCCTTCCCTTACCAAAAAAAAAAAAAACCCTGGCCTATACATTGCTCTGGAATCTGACGTGGGATTCCCCCACTAATGATTCCTATGTGAGGTGTGACTCTAAACATGCCCGCCTACTCTGAAACACAGCTTGCAACATAAGGGTTTCAGAGATTAGTATTCATTTGACCTCCCGAATCCCCACCATCTTATTTATCTTTCCTCCCAAGGATACAAGAAGGGGTGGGAGAAGGGGGGGGGGGGGGGGGGGGGGGGGGGAGAGGAGAGACGGGAGAAAAAAAAAAAAAAAAAAACAAACACCCAAAAACAAAAAGAATCCACCTCCCCACCAGAGGTAGAGGTTTATCACCCCCCTTCCCTCCCCCTCTATCTCTCCTTCCCACCCCCAGTCTCTCTGCCATCTCTTTTTATTAACTGACACTTCTCTTTCCTCAACCTTACACTGTCATTAGACCCCTCTGACCATCCCACAATATTCACATTTTGCAGTTCTAATTTTTCTTAAAAGTCACTAAGATCTTCTGGGAATCTCAGTCTTGTCGATTTCCAATCTTTCCACCCAATCATGCCGGAAATCCCCAGTTATATCGGACTCTTTTCTCCCTCATCTGGTCCAGTAATGATTTTCACAGTCTTCGTCTGGTTAGTTAGATGCAATGACTGCAAAAACTTGCAGCTTTGTTTCCCCAAATTATATTTCAGGGATCTCACGCTATTTTTTTCCTTAATCTCTCTATCCTCATAATAATGGAAACGGACAATCATGTCTCTGGGGAGGTCTGATATTACTCCTGGCAGACATCTAGACCTATGCACGCTCTCGATTTTCAAGGGATCTGTGACTGATCTACCTATTATTGGGTTGAACACCCTCCTTATTTTCTCCCGAAGGTCCTCTTCTTGAGAGTCTTCTGGTAAGCCCCGAATACTTAGATTATTTCTTCTTTCTCTATTCTCTTGGCCTTCTAATTTGAATGAGAGCTGCTTCAGTTCTTTTCGCATCTCTTCCACCTGCATTTCTAGCTTAGTGATCTGCTGGGCTTGAATCTCCATTTTCCCCTCTACTTCTTCCACTTTTGTTAACATTCGCCCCAGGTCCTTTTGTATCACTGCCATTTCCTTTTTCATGGAAAGTTCCAATTTTTCAAACATTTCCACACCATCTCTATTTTCATAGGGATTAGTGATATATCTCCCTGTTTTTCTGAGATGTTTTGATCTATTACACTGTCAAAATTTATGGATTCATTAGTTTGATTCCCTTCCCGTATTCCGAATGACAATCTAGACTGTTCTCCGTTATACTTTCTATTTCCTTCCTGTTGATTATAAAGGCTTTGTATCTCTGGGCTCTTTTTCTGTAATGCAATATATTTCTTTACTGTACTGATGTTTGCATTGGGTGGCAGGGTTTTGGCGCCCCCCCTTTGGCAGGTCTACTCTTCATGTTGGTTACACTTAGCCGCTGATTTTCAACTTAATACTCAAACGCAATATTGTCTAGAAAAGACCCCTCCTCTTTATTCTCCTCCAGTAACTTTTTCAGTCCCAAATAACTTTAGAATGTGAACGATGTCAGCACGAACACCTGCCCTCTGAGATCCCCAGCTCCTTAATCTGCTGACCACCCAGACCCACTGCTCAGGTATATGTTTGCTTACAACAAAAACAGCAGCTACTTAAAAATCCTGCCGTTACGGCAATTCACCATCACCCGAGCCAATGGTACAGGGTCCCTCTGTCTGTGTGCTCCTCTATCCCTGTCAGAGTCTCATGTCCTGGTTGACAGGATCGCCTGAGTGGGGTCTGGGTGGGAGCTCATAATGCCCTGTGCTTTCGGGTGTCTCAGGGTCTTCAGGGTATGCTGCTTTTCCCAGCTCTTTAGAGTACCATTAGAGTATCCAGCTGCCATCACTTCTCCATATGAGTGGTCACTCTCCTGGGTCCCTCCAAGCTTCTGTTTGATCTTCATAGGCACTGTCACCATCCGCCAGTCTCAGCGCTCCCCTACACTCCAAAGAGTTCCTCTGTCGGCAGACACTGGTCCCTCCAGAAGCTCCGGGAGCCGAGACCACTGCAACACACTTCCCAGCCGAGTGACTACCGCCACCGCCACCTACTGCACGGTCCTCACAGATGTTGCGTGCACACTGCACTGCCCCGGCCGGGTCCACCATCAAGATAAGGTAAGCCCTGGGAGATAGATCCAGCAAGGTCTAAGTCCATATGGCGGGCGTCTAGAGCTCCTGCAGCTAGCAGTCTCCCAGCGCCATGTTCAGCCCCCCCCCCCCCCCCCCCGATTGACCCTGATTTTTGGCTCATCTTACCAGAGCATCTTCTTCCACGTTTGCTGTGTCCCCCACATGGCTTCTCACAAACTACAAATGGGACTTCTTATGGCTTTCTTTCAACAGTGGCTTTCTTCTTGCCACTCTTCCATACAGGCCAGATTTGTGGAGTGCACGACTAACATTTGTCTTGTGGACAGATTCTCCCACCTGAGTTGTGGCACTCGCAGCTCCTCCTGTTTTTACCACGGGCCCCTTGGCTGCTTCTCTGATTAATGCTCTCCCTTGCTCAGCCTGTCAGTTTAGGTTGACGGCCATGTCTTGGTAGGTTTGCAGTTGTGCTATACTCTTTACACTTTTGGATGATGGATTGAACAGTGCTCCGGAAGAAGTTCAAAGCTTGGGATAATTTTTTATAACCTGACCCTGCTTTGAACTTCTACACAACTTTATCCCTGACCTGTCTGGTGTGTTACTTGGTCTTTATGATGCTGTTTGTTCACTAATGTTATCTAATACACCTCTGAGAGCTTCACAGAACAGCTGTATTTACACTGAGATTAAATTACACACAGGTGGACTGTATTTACTAATTAGGGGACTTCTGAAGGCAATTATTTCCACAAGATATTAGTTAAAAGTATCAGAGTAAAGGGAGCTAAATATAAATGCACGCCACACTTTTCAGATATTTGTAAAAAATTTTGAAAACCATTTATCATTTTCCTTCCACTTCACAATTATGTGCCACTTTGTGTTGGTCTATAATATTAAATCCCTTTAAATAAATTTACATTTTTGGTAACATAACAAAATGTAAGTAAATGTAAGCTTACCAGTATACACAACTGCACAATTCAACACAATAAATATCCCGCAATACAATCCCACTCTGAATGTAGTCCAGGCCGGTGCAGGCTGAAAAAAAAAAAAAAAAAAAAGAAACAGCACAACAGTTAATTAGCAACTTTTAATGATTAAACGGAGCAGCTGAATGATGCATTTAGTTTTATAAAAAGATCATAAGGGCCTAGTTCATTAAAGTGTCAACAATTTCTGATCATAACTTTCACGAAAGAAACTCCACTTTAACGTCTGAACTCCTACAGACACATATGAAAGAGGGCATTACATTTCATCTATGCCATCAGAAGGATGTGCACTATATAAATGAAAAAAAAGCATCTGCTTATTCTTTATGTAAATGAATAAGGTTCAGAAACTCACATTTAAAAGCTATGAAATTCATCATGCTGTGCTTCTATTCTTGGACCTGCAAGACAGTCGTGGAGGCAAGTTCCAAGAACTGGTGTAGAGAGCTAGAGAGGGACTACTATGCTGCTTCTGAACATATCTATAGGAAATCTAGTATTCTGCTGGTCAATGAGGGCAATACACCTTCAGGGAGATGATGTTTGTAACAACGGGTGTGGGCAATGCAGATGTATGAGATTTATCACTTTGGCATTCCTCACTGTGCCCTACCAAGCTGAACATGCTTTGCATGCAGATGTCTACTTGTTGAATATTGCAGAAAAGGGCTTATCTGCTTAGGGAGCTGCCTGGGCCTCATTGTCACCTTACTTAGGTGGTTACTGCAGAAGCTGCAACTGGCAGGAGCATACAATAAAGCCAACACATGCGATTGACATTTTTGTGTTTTAAACAATTTTTAGATACAATAATTCATTGGGCTTTTTTATTACTTCTTTCAAAAACAGAATGCTGCAATTTTAATCTTTCAGTTTTTCTAAACAGAAAACCATGTCCCCTTTTTTCAAAATATGTTATCAATTTGTCTTTAGTTTTGTACAAGGATCAGACACATCAATAAGTAAAAAAAAGTCAAATGAATACTGAATGAGAACGTAAGCATGGTTTTCAAAGGATTGATAACTGATTACAAGAGATCAAAAGACAAATTAGGCCTGATGCAACCTAACAGGTTTTAGTCTTTATTTGTGACTGTAGTGGCATAAAACATACATGTGCATATACTTATAGTGCAGGGAATAATATCATATATAAAATCAACAATAGAAACCACTACTAAGGTTTAGATGTTAAAATAAAAGCAAAAACAAATAAAGCTGCTGCTTACAGCAGTCAAGTGTTTGCTTTCACTTGTTACCATCACAGGCAAAGATGGCACCAAGAAAATGTACCAACAGGCACTAATTTGCTCTGTCTTTTATATTTAAGCTGCAGTGTGTGAGATTCTATACATATGCTATGCCTATTTAATGTTGAAAAAAGATGTGTATATATAGATGTGTAGTCCATTATACAGTATTTTGCGCTCCATAAGACGCACCTAGGTATTAGAGGCAGAAAACAAGAAAAAAAATATTCTGAACCAATGGACTGCAGACACAGTACAGGAGATGACCAGAGACTGCGGACACAGTACAGGAGATGACCAGAGACCGCAGACATAGTACAGGAGATGGACCAGAGACCGCAGACATAGTACAGGAGATGGACCAGAGACTGCAGACACAGTATATGAGATGGACCAGAGACTGCACACAAAGTACAGGAGATGGACCAGAGACTGCGGACATAATACAGGGAAAATACAATGGACATAGTACAGATGACCAGAGACTGCAGACAGTGCAGGGGATGACCAGAGAGTGCGGACCTTTGCGGAGGGAGGGGGAGCGGGTACCTGAATTTGACAGGCACCCACTCCCACGTCCGCGGAGTTGTCCTTCCCTCTTCTTTCCGCGCCCGCTTCTGTGACAGCTGGGTACCCGCTGCGCTTTGTAAATGGTCCGGCGCCTTCTGGGACCTGTCATGTGTCCCAGAAGACACCGGATCATTCACACAGCGCAGCGCTTCTCGCACATGCGCAGTGGGTACCCGGCTGTCACAGAAGCCAGCGCGGGAAGACTGTACAGCGCTGGAGCGAGGAACAGGTAAGGTCCTGCAGGAGAGAAGAGCTGAGTGTCCGGCCCGATATTCTGACATGGTGGCGGCAAAAATACCGGGCCGGCCGCTTTATATTCGCTCCATAAGACGCATTGACATTTTCCCCCCTTTTTTGGGGGGAAAAAAGTGCATCTTATGGAGCGAAAAATACGTTAGTTCGAAAATGCTCTCTTTCCTGCAAATCTAAGTGCCAATATTACAATCATATTTTAGCAGTAAAGTAACGGTTTTGAACGACCATGTTTTTTGTCGAGCTGAATGTGACATCACGTGGTTGTTCAAAACCGTAGCTTTACTGCAAAAATTTAATTTGTAATATTAGCACTTGGATTTACAGGTAAAATGGAATTTTGGTGCTATATTGGGACTACACATCCTCTCTTATTTCTCTATTTGGAAGCAGTGAGTATGGAGCCTGCTTGATGTGGAAGTCTGTTTATTGAAGTTTGTTAACAAGTGCAAATCACTGATGAGTGAGTGTGCGAGTGTGTGAGTGTGAGAGTGTGAGAGTGTGAGAGTGTGAGAGTGTGAGAGTGTGAGAGTGTGAGAGTGTGAGAGTGTGAGAGTGTGAGAGGTGTGTGAGAGTGAGAGTGTGTGCACAGTATTTTCTGGCGTATAAGACTACTTTTTATACTTAAAAATATACCCCAAAAATTAGGGGTCGTCTTATACGCGGGGGTAACATGTGAACCTTGAGTTTGTTTAGGTCAAGCTGGCTGGATGTGTGGTAATACTGTACATACAGTATACCGTGCTGAGCCAAGCTGGCTCAAAACAAATGTCCCTATGACAGATTAATCGGTCAGCCCGCTGGATGTGCTGTATATACAGTATACTGCGCTGAGCCAAGCGGTTTCAAAACGTACCGGTACGTCCCTACTGTAATCAGCCCGCTGGATGCGTGTATGTACGGTAGCTGTGGTTACATACAGTATACACTGGGCCAATCACGGCGAGTGATGTATTCTACTAATGAATACAAAGCCTGCTCGGATTGGCTGAGTCAGAGAGGTGGGCTGATGATGTCACAACCTCAGCCAATCCGAGCAGGCTTTGTATACATTAGTAGAATACATCACTCGCCGTCATTGGCACAGTGTATACTGTATGTAGCCGCAGCTATCGTACATACACACATCCAGCGGGCTGATTACAGTAGGGACGCACCGGTACGTTTTGATACAGCTTGGCTCAGTATACTGTATATACCGCACATCCAGCGGGCTGACAGATTAATCTGTCATAGGGACATTTGTTTTGAGCCAGCTTGGCTCAGCGTGGTATACTATATGTACATTACTGCACATCCAGCGGGCTGTATATATACTGTATATTGTATATAGCCAAAGCTAACGTATTACCGCACATCCAGCGGTAACCATCTGATTTGGAATTTGATCCATATGATGACTGTCTTACAAATGTATCACAAGATGTCATTCATGAACTTATGATGTCAGAGGATGAACATGTTTTGAAGGATTTTAAGTACCGCACATTTCAATGAAAAAATCAGATTTATTTAAATGGTGTTGCCTCGGAAGGGGGGTAGTCTTATACGGCGAGTATAGCCCAAAAACCTATGTTTTAACTGTTAGGGGGTCGTCTTATACACCCAGGGACATGCCGGAAAATACGGTATATATATTATATTTATATATATACACACACACACACACACACACATACATACATATACAAACACACAGTATCTCACAGAAGTGAGTGCACCCCTCACATTTTTTGTAAAACAGTGTAAATTTGCTGTCCCCTCATAACTCACCCAGCCATTAATGTCTAAACCGCTGGCAACAAAAGTGAGTACACCCCTAAGTGAAAATGTTTGGCATTAAATGGCAATATTTTGTGTGTGGCCACCATTATTTTCACTGCCTTAACCCACTTGAGAATGGAGTTCACCAGAGCTTCACGTTGCCACTGGAGTCCTCTTCCACTCCTCCACGAGCTGGTGGATGTTAGAGACCTTATGCTCCACCTTCCGTTTGAATGCCCCCACAGATGCTCAATAGGGTTTAGGTCTAAAGACATTTCTTGGACAGTCCATCACCTTTACCCTCAGCTTCTTTACCAAAGCAGTGGTCATCTTAGAGGTGTGTTTTGGGGTCGTTATGTTGGAATACTGCCAGGGCCAGTCTCCGAAGGGAGGAGTTCATGCTCTGCTTCGGTATGTCACAGTACATGTTGGCTGTCAGGAACGGACTCACCACTGGTGGTGCTGTGGCTCACTTGCTCTGTGGGCTGCAGTACCAGCTCATACCAGAGGGTGCTTTTCAGCAGCCAGGGTCTCTCTCCTGCAATCAAGCCATCACCTGAGGCTGATTGCATTTAAGCAGGACCAGGTCTGCAATCAGTGCCTTGGTGTTTGTTTTCCATGAGCCCCTGTACCTGGTATCCAGTGAATCTTCTGTTGCCGACCTCTGCATTGTTCCTGACCTCTGCATTGTTCCTGACCCTGCTGACCGTCTCCTGTTTAAACCCCTGGCTTGCCTGACCATCCTTCTGCCTGATCCTGTGTACCGTGCTGCCCGTGAGTTACTGACCCGGCTTGTGACCCTGACCATTCTCTGCCTGCTCCTCCAGTACCTCGCTGCCCGCACGTTGCTGACCTGGCCTGCCTGACTATGCCTCACGTTACCAGACGATCCATCCACCATCCCGCATGGATCTGTCCTTGTTGCCAGGTCTGCCAGCCTCTTCACGTCAGGCTCCTTTCCCCGCACACCTCTGACGCTCTCTACCATTGCCGGACGTACTCAGGGGTCGCGACCTGGTCTCAGTCTGCTCCAAGTCCATCCCCACCATCAGGGGCCCTGGTGAATAAGCAGATTGGGACTTAGACCCCGCGCCCTGAGGAACCCCGTGCTGTGGGCTGCTAGAGACGCTGCCAGGCGGTGCTTAACAGTACCAAATGGCCTGCCTGACTATTCCACCTCTCCAGCCCTGACTACACCTGTGTTCCCACACATTTCTGGTCATACCCGGATCTCTAACAATGGCATTCATGGATCCCTCAATGAATTGTAGCTCCCCAGTGCTGGCAGCACTCATGCAGCCCCAGACCATGACACTCCCACAACCATGCTTGACTATAGGCAAGACACACTTGTCTTTGTACTCCTCACCTGGTTGCCGCCACTCATGCTTGACACCATCTGAACCAAATAAGTTTATCTTGGTCTCATCAGACTATAGGACATGGTTCCAGTAATCCATGTCCTTAGTCTGCTTGTCTACAGCAAACTGTTTGCAGGCTTTCTTGTGAATCATCATTAGAAGAGGCTTCCTTCTGTGACGACACCCATGCAGACTAATTTGATGCAGTGTGCGGCGTATGGTCTGAGCACCGACAGGCTGACCCCCACCCCTTCAACCTCTGCAGCAAGTCTGGCAGCACTCATATGTCTATTTCCCAAAGACAACCTCTGGATATGATGCTGAGCATGTGCACTCAAACTTCTTTGGTCGACCATGGCGAGGTCTGTTCTGACTGGAACCTGCCCTGTTAAACCGCTGTATGGTCTTGGCCACCGTGCTGCAGCTCAGTTTCAGGGTCTTGGCAATCTTCTTATAGCCTAGGCCATCTTTATGTAAAGCAACAATTCTTTTTTTCAGGTCCACAGCGATTTTTGCCATGAGGTGCCATGTTGAACTTCCAGTGACCAGTATGAGAGAGTGAGAGCAATAACACCAAATTTAACACACCTGCTCTCCATTGGCACCTCAGACCTTGTAACACTAATGAGTCACATGACACCGGGGAGGGAAAATGGCTATTTGGACCCAATTTGGACATTTTCACTTAGGGGTGTACTCACTTTTATTGCCACCGGTTTAGACATTAATGGCTGTGTGTTGAGTTATTTAGAGGGGACAGCAAATTTACATGTTATACAAGCTGGACACTCACTACTTTACATTGTAGCAAAGTGTCACTTCTTCAGTGTTGTCACATGAAAAGATATAATAAAATATTTACAAAACTGTGAGGGATGTACTCACTTCTGTGAGATACTGTATGTGTGTGTACACACACTCACCAGCCACTTTATTAGGTACACCTGTTCAATTGCTTGGTGACACAAATTGCTAATCAGCCAATCACATGGCAGCAACTCAATGCTATTAGGCATATAGACGTGGCAAAAACGACTTGCTGAAGTTCAAACCAAGCATCAGAATGGGGAAGAAAGGGTATTTAAGTGACTTTGAACGTGGCACGGTTTCTGGTACCAGACGGGCTTGTCTGAGCATTTAAAAAACTGATGATCTACTGCTATTTTCACGCACAACCATCTCTAGGGTTTACAGAGACTGATCTGAAAAACAAAATATCCAATGAGTGGCAGTTGTGTGGATGAAAATGTCTTGTCGAGGTCAGAAGAGAATTGGCAGACTGGTTGCTGTGACATTCAGATGGTAGGGTCAGAATTTGGCATAAACAATCTGAAAGCATGGATCCATCCCGCCTTGTATCAACGGTTCAGGCTGGTGGTGTAATGGTGTGGGGGATATTTTCTTGGCAATAGCAAGGTGTACCTAAGTGGCCGATGAGTGTAAATATATATTTTCAGTGCATTTTTGTAACACATGTCCAATATTTTGGCTCTTCAAATATGCTGTAGTACCTAAAAAAAAAAAAACAAAAACAAAAAAACACGACTCTGGTGATCATCCAATTCTCTGTAGTGAGCCAACAATGCTGCGCTGACATTCTAGGACAGTGTTATCAACTGTCACCTTCACTTCTGCCAGAAGTGTATTACTGACAGAATCACCAGGTGAAAATAAAGGGGGGGGGGGGGAAGATGTAGTTACCACATCTAAGCCCCAAGCAACATCATATACATGTTTCAAACCATTTTGCATATGGCTGCTGAAAGGAGGTCTCAAGCGGAAATGTACCACTTATACTTTTCATGTCATGGCAGATTTACCTACTAGTGCGCTCCCCTCCAGCGATGTGATTTAAGTGCTGTATATCATTCTGGCACTGACATCTTTTGCCCATCTTCTTTTGGTTTCTTCCACAAAGAATTATAGCAATGAACCAAGAGCCTTAGTGTCACAGCTAGAGAACATTTTCAGAAGGAGAGGTCTGCAGCAGCCGCCACTGTATGTCTGTTATAGTGTATGTTAGATGGAAATCCAAACACACCCAATCTGTTTATCCATTGGAATGAGAGGGACCATAAATGGTCACAAGCAATATGATTCAGGATTATTCCTCATTTATTTTTTAGCCGATATAAATCATGGCTTGTCTGAGGTACACATCAAAAAACAATGACAAAAGGATGCAATTAATGCATACCACCACCCAAGACCATAAATGGAAAAATACTGACAGAGTAGTACAGACAAGCTTCTGGTGCTTATCATGCTGCTTGCAGCTTTACATTAAATTGTATCAAGTCTATATCCAAAGTAGTATGAAAGCTTTTATTAAATGCTTTAATTCAAATAGTGTACAGCATCAATACACTTTTTCCAGCATTTGTAGATTTCAGCGGCATAATATTGACAGAACTGTTTGTCTGTGTCAGTATGACTCCAAGCTATTATGGACCTAAAACGGAGAAAAATGTGGGTTTTTACAATTTTTTTTTTTAAGCATTAGTAAAAAAAAAAAAAAAAAAAAATCAAACAACTGAGCATTTATCAGCTGCATTCTGGTTGCACTTGATATCCCTGGTCAGGGGTGAACTATCACTAAAGAATTCCTCAGCTGTTCTGGACAATCAGAGTTAAGAGATTCTCTTACCCTAGGTTCACATCTGTGCGGGTGGTGCCGCTGCGGATCCGCATGAAAATCCATGCAGCCACACCACCCGCACAGAGAAATGCGGACCAGCGTGCGGGCAACATTAGTTCTAATGGCACCCCGCCCGTACTGGGAACCGAAGTGTAGGGAATTCTTCCCTGCATGTCACGGGCACGTGAATAATTCAAATGAATGGGCTCTCGTGCACATGCAAAACGCGGCCTGCACGGCCACATATATGTGAACCGGGGGTGAAACAGCCAGGAACAGGGAACCAAAAACAGTAGAAACACTTGTGGGAGATTCCCTTGCCCAAATTTTTCACCTGTGCAGCTCCGAGGGGTGGCACACGCAGACGTTTCATGGCTTTCTGTCTGTCTCCATCTTCCAATTCATTTGTCACTAGACCCTAGTAACATAAAAAAGTAAGAAAGTGTGAGAAGTTATCAAACCGGCCTTAGTCCAGTGATGATGCCAGGTATCCTGGTGACACATTCTGATACATGTATGAAGAGTTAATGAAAAGTGATCAGTAGATGCCCTTCTTTTTAACATCAAACCTCAGTCATTCTGCTGCAACTATAATAAAGAGACAAATTATTTGAAACAATAAAAATAGAGCAGGATGCAAACATAACATATTAGATGGCTGGGTTCTTTGAGATAATGCCTGTTCAGAGCCTAATTGGTGCTGATGGCTCCTGGGGTTTGGGAAGATTTGTTCAGGCCTACCAAGGTATCTTGATAGTGCCTGCCTATTCTGTGAGCTTTGTTAAAAAAAAAAAAAAAAATTGTATGAAATGAACAACTATCTTGTAATAAATTATGGTATTTTCCCCCATCCATGCTGCATGTCTTCAAATGTGAAAGACTGGAAAGCAGTGTGCAGAAATAACACTGGTCTGTGATCGCTGGGGTACATGGTACACGCTTTTATATTAGAATGGTTGGATGCAGCTTCTGGTTTTTTTTTTTTTTCCCGTTTTTGCTGAATCACAATGGGGGTAGCTAGGTGTAAACGCCCGGTCGGGTCTGTCTGAAAAACGGACAGGCAGACCTGACCAGACCTCCTGTGTGAAAGGGGCCTAAAACACAAGTGAAGAGAAGCAGTTTCAGAACTCCTTAAAGTCACTTCTGCAGATCACACCAACCTGCTTACTGCTGGTTACTTTTTAAACATTTTAGAGTTCGTGAGGTATTCAGGGATATTGGCTCTCTGCATTTAAGTGACTAACTTTGAAAGGTATTAACACCCCCTTCCTCTCAACATGATAGGCACTGTTTATCTGCAGGCTTGGACTATTCCTTTAAGCTATCATCCAGACCTAGCCTATGGTATCTAAACCTACAAACAAATATTTTATATATTGTGGCTTACCATTTGTTAGATATGGTGGATGCATTTGTTTTCTGTTTATTTTTTTTAATTTTATTTTCAGATACATAAACGGTTTTCAACTAAATTAAATCTGATTATTGTAAGCACCCATGCCAGTATTAAACAGTTTATCTCAACCTTCTAACATATTTGCTTGACTGCTTCATCTGTTATGATGAAATGTATACTGATAGTAAGGAAGATTCTTGGATTTCAGAATATAATAGCTCAGTGGGGAGAATTCCCCCATCCACATCAAGTTGTTGAATGAAAATAAATTAATCCTCTATGGGCTGCCTTACTGGCCAGATCACGTGAAAATGAAGGAAAAAAAAAAAAAAAAAAAAAACAGCCATCAACAATTCAGAAAGGGTAAGCTGCTATATACAGTATAACATTTTTGCTTTTGGGTTTAGATACGTTTTTCAGCTTTTCAAATGCACACAGCTTGCAGAAAAAAAATAAAAACGACATGCCTCTAACACGGTGAGGGAAAACGAAAGGCTGAATCATGCAGAAGCTGGCCGTGTAATCTAAATTCTGGTGGTATTGGATTAAAACAAAAATAATTAATGTATGATTAGGAAGATGCTCAATAAATATTAACATTAAAAAAACAGAATTTTTGGGAGTGAATTCCTTAATAAAACCCCAATTATCTTTGGACAAGCCCCTAATTTGAGAAAGTTTATTGCCCCAAATGTAGTGGAAAAGCCCCGTAAGATTATTATATTTGGTGATTTGCAGGTTTTTTTTTCTGTGCAAAAAATGCCGAGTATGTAAATGCATTGGAAGGAACATTTGCAGAACTAAGATATTTGCTTCTGAATGTACTACAAAAAAAAAAAAAAAAAAAATTTTTTTTTGCGCAACTTATAATCTGCTCTACTACACGTCCTTTATCTCCTACAGTGCCCGTGTGGTCTACAGTATGTGGGGAGGACCACACAGGCACTGCAGATAAGAATTAACAAACATATAGCGAATATTAAAAAAGGGCTTCCCAGGTCATAGCCTTTCAAAACACTATGTTCTCCATCATAGAAAAAATCTTGCCAGTCTTATAGATAGAGATATAGCACATTGAAGAGAAAGTAATTTAACACGTAGGTTCTCTAAACACGGTGAATGTTTGATTTGAAATGGTATGCTCCCCGTGGATTAAACAGAGTAGGACCTGAATAGTTTCATTAATAAGTTACTTTTTTATTTTTTTGGTTGCTTTTATATAGGTTTTTCAAATGATTAAATTTGGAATGATAGCGGCCTCTTATCTGTTAACTCCACGTGGAGGCTTTAGCCATGATTTTTAAAATGAATCATGATTGAGTATTGCTATGAAATGTGGTTACTAAGTGGAGTAATTATTTATTTATAATATCATGATTGCCAGTTACAGTAAGTTTTTTTTATATTAATTTATTATGGTGATTTTGATGTAATTTGTTTTAGTTTAACCGGTGATCTAGTATGAGTAGATTTGGCTGTATTTTCTATGTGTGAAGTTCAGGTTAGGAGGCAGCTTCACAGGCTTGATCTGTGTATATATACACATCTATGGAACTGTCATCACACTCTGCTAACCCCTTGACAGTGTTCCATTGGATGAAACACGTCAAGGTGGAGCCTGTGCTGACATCAACACATCCGCCAGAGCCTATGGCGGTGTGGAGATTGTGTTATGCCTATTACATGCAGCGAGATGAAAGCAGATATGCATTACATAAACCATTAAAGCTATCAGTTTTGCACTATGAGATGCTGTTTATTTTTCTCTTGCCGGGCTGATTTTGCATTTCAGGAGAGAGGAGACTGTACAGAGTCCCTGTTGGTGTGCCCTACGGTTCCCAGGTTTAAGAGACACCATGCTGTTGCAGTCCTTGCTGGTGTGCTTTGTGGTTCCCAAATTTGTGAGACATCTTGTGGCAACAGATCTTATTTGGTTGTGACTGCATTAAGACCACCTATAACTTGGGGTCTTTACAAATGGCAAGGGGCGACTGTGTGACAGTGGTGATGCAACTCGCTGGGAGTGTCTTTGAATTTCATGTGGATGGACTTCCTTTGTACACAGCATACATATCACATAAGGTGTTGGTACTTGGACTATTGTATTGTTTTATTTTTGTATACATTGTCTCATTTTTAGCACATTTGATTTATTTAAAGGGACAGTGCAACAATATTTGGATAAAATGTGAGCACTCTTATTTTAGTGTTTTTTGAGCGCTGTGATGAACAGTTATCTTGATATTTATTAAGAGCACAGTTTTCAGTTTAAAAATAATGCTGGGCTTATTGAGTTCTGAACTGCTATTATAGACTTTAGATGCAGCCATGAGCAGCCTCCCACTGCCATAGCCTCTGTGATGCAGCCTTTAAAGCTTGTCTTGCGACTATCACCTCTGCTGTGGTGCATAGACATGGATCTGGACTATAGAGACGAATAGAAGAGCAGTCCCCCAACCCCCCCCCCCCCAATTCCTCCAGTGTTACAGTGCGTGAGGGATACTCTCCCCACACCTGCTATCGCAGCACAGCTCCACCCACCCAGCCGTGTCCTTTATTCACAACTGTCTGTGAATGAACAAACTACAAGTTCCATCTGCCACTGCGGCAGACAGCTTGTAGTCCTTAATGAATCTTCCTGCACTTCAGTAACTGCCTGCAGGCTCCTAAGATAAAAAAAAAAAAAATGCAAGTTTTTTTTAACCTGCAGGAAAAAAAAGTGCATTTATTTTTTTTTTTTTTTTTTTAGTGAATTTATTTTTTTTAAACTTTCATTAAAACAGAAGTTCAAGATAAATTACATATTACACATGAGAACACTGATCATGTAAAAATGAATTTAGATATATTAATTTCTTAAATAATGTAAATTCTGCTCTCAAAGTTGGCTACTGTCATGTTTTCCCTGCAACAGTTTTAAATGACGACAGATGGGTGGAGGCGTAAGACATATAAACAGGTGCCAGGAATAAATCTTCTAGCATTCCAAGCTGTAGACAAGGAAGCCAGGAGATTTAAAAAGTGGTGATTACACAGGCATGATCCATGCAGTGCAGAGATGCAGAGTAGAGCCATCAGAATCACAGACCCTTCCTTTTTTGTGTCCCTGGTTCAGCAAATCCTATCCACTGGAGCTATTGATAGTGGAAATTCTTATAGGAATCAACTGTTGATTGACAGTTGGGAGGCAATTTGGCAATATTACCTTGAGTATTCTATTTTTTTTCTTTTTTTTTTTTTAATTCATAAGTTCCACTTGTATGACAGTGTACCTGCTAATACCACTAAAGCAACGGACATACAGACAGAAAATACTGTAACTTAAAGTGGACCTTTAGGTAAAAAAAAAGAAAAGGTGAACAGGCAAGAATTTTAATGCAGAAGAGACATGCTTGGTCTCTTCTGCATTAAGGTTACTTACCAGCCTGTCCGCCCCGTACAGCTCACTGTACAAATTCAGCAATGCCAAATCGGACCGAACTCCCGCACATGCTCAGGAATGACGTCATTCCTGTCTGGCAAATGACAGTGGCCAGCGATCAAGACCCAGAAGCTGTCTGTTCGAAGATGTCAGCCCGGGTGGGGAGATCAAGGACAGCACATTGCTGGATCCAAGGTGTGTATAGTTCTGCTTTAAATTAAAAGAACTTTATATTTAGCCTAACTTTAGAAGTTTATCTTTTCATTTGCAGTTAGAGAGTATAGCAATCTCTACAGAGTAATGACTACAAAATATGACAAACGTTGTTAAAAAGTGTTTTTCCTTTATAGCTTATGTAGCTATAGTGACAAACTGTCATTGCTGAGGTAAAAATACACTCTATAGAATATAAATATGTGAATTCCCCATATGTTTTTTCCCTAAGGCAAGTCATAGACTAATCAGAATTCTCTCTTTCCACCACAGGTGGACAGAAAGAAAATCGCTCAATGCTCTCATTAAAGTAGAACTATAGGTAAAACCTTTTTTTTTTATCATTTTGCATAGAGTAATGGAGGCTATAACCCCTGTCAGATTTCAGAATGTCAGAAGTGAGGAAATCCCTTCAAATTAATGGAATTCCTTGGGGACCCCCAGGTCACCAGAGCTAGTACCCCCATTGAAAGATTTTCCCCACTATTACTTTTCTGGGGACAACCCAAAATTTGGGATTTTCTTTACTTTCATTGATCACGGTAAACAGGACAAATAGAGAGGATGAATGTCCCTAATGGGGACAGAGAGAGCAATATATTTGACAGATATTCTAATCCATCTCCACTCTATCCAAAACTTAAAAAAAAAAAAAAAAAAAAAGTTTTGCCTTTAGTTATAGTTTAACACAGTCAGTATTGATAGGGGAATGCCTACAACAGAGCTATTGTGTTCTGCTAGCAGGAAGCCTACCCTTACAGCAGAAAGCAATGATTACTGCTAGCGGTTATAGTTGCCGGCAGTGATTACATGCTAAGGCCCACTGTAAAAAGATTTTCAAGTTCTCTGTGTGCAATAACAAGTGCTGTCATGGAAATTTTGTACTGTTGGTCGAACTTTAAATGTGTCATATATTTGTGTTATTCATATGTCTCTCGTGTGGCTTAATTAAAGCTCTGAAGGCTGCAATTGGGCCATGCGCATGTACAATGTATGTATTACAGTACTCAGCTCGGTAATGGATGAGATGGCAGATCTGCGCTTATAGACCGGCGTGTATACCACCACGGCATTCGATGCGAATGCCGCTGGCAGTAGACCGCGGGCCTGTATCCACATATCAGCAGCATAGTACCACATGGACTTCGTAACGCAAGGCGCCAAGCGGTACGAACTCCGCGTGTAGGCTTATGCATATCTTACAACCCATTACCGACCTGAACTGTATCTTGGATGGATGTGTTTTAATAAAGATCGTATCGGGCCCATCCAGGTACAGACTGATATTTCTAGGAGATGCTTGTACAGGGAATGGACATACTGCTAGGAGCTGGGAAATATGACCTCAGATGGCTCATGGGAGGAAGGGGAGGAAGTCTGCTGACCTCAGAAGGCTCATGGGAGGAAGGGGAGGAAGTCTGCTGACCTCAGAAGGCTCATGGGAGGAAGGGGAGGAAGTCTGCTGACCTCAGAAGGCTCATGGGGGAGGACCAGTGATAGATAATAGGAAAGGCTATGCTCCAATCGGAATGTACATCCTGTGTATAGGCACTCCCCATTGCATTGTTCGGTGGGAGGGGATTGACTTTATTCATGTGGGGAGCGTGTGTGTATTTGTAATAAAACCAAAGGCTGAGTCTGAAGCCGGCTTTATGTGAATTGCAACACCAGCCTTAGAGTGTCGTGTGATTATTCTAGGGTAACGGAGCTCCATCATCCACATCTCAACAGAAGCTAAAAGTAGTTGGATGGGCAGGAATCGTGTAGTTTAGCTGCAGTCGTGGTAAGCGAGATTCGCACAGCTTTATGGGGGATTTCTGCGCATCCAACTGCGAGTACTCACGGTAAGGAGAAATTCGTTAAAGCGAATTTCCAAGACATGTCAACAGATGAAATAAACAATCACATCCCAAGAAAGGAGAGAGATGAGCACTCACCCCATAGTGTAGCAGGCATAAGGAAGTTTAATGGACAAAATGCATTCTACACTATGGGATGTGTGCTACTCTCTCCTTTCTTGCTTTACACAGGTTTTCAGCATCAACCCACGCAGCTCAGCAGTAGCACCCTCTTAGTTATAGCAACTTTAGACTGTTTTTTTTAATCTAGGCTACCTGCTTTTAGATACTTTTATATCCATATTGCTTTTTCGCTGTTTGTATATTTTTTTATCATTTATTAAATGCATACTGAACTCTTGGATTGATTGATTTATTCTCAGCCTCAATTTTAGGATTTCATGTTTTTTTTTTTTCATCACACTCACACAATCCTAATCAAGCTCTAACAATCGCTTAACTAGTGGAGAACCTTATTGGGCTCATCAGAACTATTTAAACGACAGGTGATATTTTCCTGGGGGTGAGTGCAGTTTGTTACACAGGTTTTCCTGTGACACGATCCACTTTGGCTTCCCTCCCAATAACGACCAAAAAGTAGGCCTAAACGACTTAATTTTAATATATATATATATTTATTTTTTTTTTTAAGCATATTCAGTGTATATAGAGGTACCTCAGTCTCAGAGATCAGCTGATTAATTTTCTTGCAGGTATAAAATGGTGCCACCTCCACATGAGCCACCCTCCAGTCTGCACCGCGGCTTGTCTCCAGAATCTTGTCATGTTTCTTTAGGATCTTTCGGAACCCTGTGAAGTTCAGATTCTAGCCAAATAAAATAAATAAGCTTATGAAAAACAAGTTCTACTTCTAATAATACAAAACAAGCTTGGGACATTGAAACTGATTATGATGAAAAGCTGCATTAGCAGAAATCACAAAAAGCCAGAACTACCAGCAGACCCAGAGACATAGGCAGAATTCCAGTAAAGAAATTCTTGCATGGGGTGTACTGAGATTTTTGTTCTGTCAGTTACATAAGGTTTTACACGTTTATAAAAGTAGTATTACTCTGCCAAGAGTGCGATTTTTATGTAAATTGATTTTATTATTGCATACAATAAAACACATTGTACTTTTAATATTTTGTTTCAACAGGTTTCCATGTTGTATAGGTTTTGGAATGTAATTCAGCACTGCCAGCAGCATAAATCCTACATTTAAAATTTTCATCTGAACCAGTGGGGTTGAGAGAGAGGTTCTTACTTAGGACATTCAACTAAACTGGGGCTGCCTTCCTTTGTAAGGAGATAGGTCCTGCAGGTGAGGCCTGAACCTGTTGCTTCCAAGTGTCCAACCTCCACATGACAGCATTTGGTCAGCTGTGCCCTCAATGAACGCTGCAAGACATTTTCTATACAAGTATTTCTTTCTATTTAGAAAGCTTGCCACGGTTCTAACAGACAGCCATAACTGATAAAGATACGGTAGGTCAAAATCATATTGCAACGTACTTTTTAAAAAATATATTTTTTTTTTATTTTAATACGTCAACCTCTGGCATCAAAGACCTTTTTCACATGGATGACACTGCTAACCGCCCACCTGAAAAGCAATCCAAAGCTGATTGTATGTCAGAAGTGGCTGAGATGAGTATTGCATTTGTTCTGGAAGCGATACTGCTGAATACCTGTTTTTTTTTTTTTTGTTTTTTTTTTTGCATGGCCATTCTGCAGCACAACCACTAGCCAACCACCAAGGTCCCATTGACATCAGGTGGCACAGCCTGTCAAACTTGACATGCCAATTTAAAACTGCAGTGGCTGCAAAGCATTATGGCCATGGCTTTCGTACAAAACCTTCCATCCTCCATGATAGAATTAAGGTGGGCAGTTAGAGAGGTGTAAAAACAGGCAATTGATACTTTTCAGCCTGGGAAAATTAGGCCTGAATACTTCTTTAACTCATTTCGTATAAAATCACACTTCTCTGCTAGTGTTGGTTTTTCATAAATAAAACAAATAAGCTGCTTAGCTTCGTCTCTGCTCCCTTATCTGACACTAGTTATTTTACTCATTGCATCAATAGAAGGAAAAAGCAGCATAAGGTTGTCCCGAAACCCTTTAATGAAGCCATAGGCCACACTCAGAGCTAAAAGGCAGACCAATAGCATGCAAAGTGGCTCTGAAATGGATATTTTTTTGGCAAATACAGACATTTTTGGTAATTATTAACAAAAAAAAAAAATAATTTCCTAAATCGTAGCTAAGCCTCCGGTCAAATCAAGCCCAACTTTGAAATGGTGCAACTTACAGTGAAGTCGCACAATTTCAAAGTTGGGTGAACCACCCATTTCACACGCGATTTGCAAGACATCTGTCAAAGGGCACAATTCACTAAGCGGTATCTTACCGCATAGCATTTTTTTTTAAAAAGTTTGAATTTGCTAAAAAAAAAACGCTACTAAAATACCGCATGACTTAAAAGTCATGCAGTATTTTAGTAGTGAAAAAATGGGTTAATGTTTCAGCTGTCAGTGGCGTTTCCCACCGACAGCTGAAACGAGCAAGTGCATCCCCCCCGAACCATTGGGGCAGGGGAACACCCCCAAGCACCTTGTCCCCTCTTCCCCATAACCCTGGCCTGTGGTTGTGGGGGTCTGTGTGTGGGGGGGCTTATCGGAATCTGGAAGGACATATTTAAAAACTTTCAAGCCAGAGGAGCAGTCAACCGGGAGCCAGCGTCGGGAGTGGAGCCCTTTTTTTTTTTTTTTTCCCGGGGCAGCGGCGGGCATTGTGATTGCCGTTGGATCTACTTTGGGGGACATTCTTTTCTTTTCCTTATTTTAATAAAAGACTTGTCAGACTGTCTCCTGTCTTTTTTTCATAATACACTTTTTTTTTTTGTGAATGGGTAGCAGGATCTGGGGGCTTCCAGATTTCGTTAGCGCCCCCCCCCGGAGACCCCCACAACCACAGCCCAGAGATGTGAGGAAGAGGCCCTTGTCCCTATCAACATGGGGACAAGGTGCTTTGCGGGGCTCGCTCATCGTTCCCCCCCCCCCCCCCCTTTCCTGACCTGCCAGGCTGCATGCTGTGATGAGGCTCTAGTATGAATTTTGGGGGGACCCCCCCACGCAATTTTTTTTTTACATTTTGGCTTTGGTTTTTTAATTATTTTTCAATTGCCGGCAATTCTTTTTTACATTCAGCTGTCAGTGGGGAACCCTGCTGACAGCTGAAACATTACTGCATGGTTTTCACTACTAAAATACCACGACTTGATAAAACACCTCATGCGGTATTTTAGTAGCGTTTTTTAGTGAATTCAAGCTTTTTTTAAAAAAAAAAAAATGCTTTGCGGTATCCTACCGCATGCTCGGATGCGGTAAAATATTGCTTACAGATGTCTATGTAAATCGCACCAAAAGTAGTTCATGTACTACTTTACAAATCGGTGCACCTCCGACCAAGTCGGAACTGCACTGATATGACCGCTCCAATTGTGGGCAATAGGGTGTGACTTGGCATACGATTTTCAGATCGCATGCCAAATCGCACTCGATGTGATGGGGGTGTACATGACAAGAACTCACTGCTAGTTTGGCATTACTCTTTGCCAGATTATCAAATATCTATGTATGCAGACAAGAAAGTTAATCTGTAAATGAAAGGGCTGAAGTGCTGAAAGGACAACTGAATTAAGCCCAACCCTGCCCTGTCAATATTAAACAGGCAGGCAGGCCAAGGTTGTGGCTCAAATCTCTGACAGCTATAGAGAATACTTGCACAGTTCTACATAAAAAAAAAACTACAGCTTTCTCCTACTGGTTTCCTAGAAAGCTATACTACATGGCAACCTGCCTGCAACTCTGTATTATATATAAAAACAAAGGCTGCAATGAGGCAGTATAAAATGGTTATACAATACACTAACACAAGAACAAAATATGATTTTTATAGCTCAAAAGCAGTGTTACATCACTTTTCATGATTAAACAAGCCTCCTGGGATTTTGGAACTTCTGGGAGAAGAGTGGCTTGAGTTTTTATTTCTCTTCCACTTCAGTTATGAACCAGGTCTCATGCAGACTGGTGTATGAATTTATGCAGAATTTTTCTGCTAAAACTTGGCAGAACAAAAATGGCTATAATGTCACGTTTTTAACAGCGTTTTGTACGCATATGGTGTTTACAAGAGTATGAGCTTACCTTGTAAAAGTAGCGCATCATCACTTTGCTATACAAAGCCTGTGCAGGGAGTACAGCTGTGGGAGGAACCCAGCAATGCCACCCACTACAGGCTGTTTGCAGAAAACTACAGGGGGGGAGGAGAGAGAGACCAGGCACCCTGCACAAGCAGAGAGTGCGGCAGTGACTGGTCTTTATTACAGGAAATTCCTGCACAACAGAAACACTGGATTACGGCACAGATCTGGGAGAGATACGCATAGTAGTACACCAGGATTCAAATAAGGTCACACATACCTCTTCGATTTAGACACTATTTGCTTATCCCAGATTTCAAATTTAAACAGGGACACATACTGTACATTGAGCATACTATCCATTTAAGAAAAAGCTATCTAAAAAAAAAAAAAAAAAAAAAAAAAAAATTCCTTTGACATCAATGACCCCACAACCTGGGGAAACCGCACTGCTCCAAATCGGTCTTATTTGTACAAAGACTTGCAGTGAATAAGTAGCTCAAAGATTATAAAGCATTTTTTCCTGATGTGGGTAATCATGTACCTAGAATGACATTGATTAAAAAAAACATGTAAACCTAGAATACATGCTTCAAAAAGAATTATAATCGAAATATATTTCGACCTAAGCAAATGTAGGTTTTTCGCTGACATTTCATGAGATTGCGTTCAATTTTAGGATATATTGGTTGTTATTTCTGATCATTAGAACAGACGTAGATAATTTTAGTTTCTGAATATTTAATGTGTTGTACAATTGTTTGCACTTTACAATTCTTAGAAAGGAAGAAGGTTTAGAATTATGAATAATTCTAATGAACGTTTGTACCTAGAATGTTGGCCTAATGTTGACTGCATTTTAATTGATTGTTCTAGAATTATTGATAAAATCATCACAATAATTGACCCTACAGTGCCCTCAATGGAATTACTAACAGGATGTCAACTGTATGTTTGGAACCGTTTCTACCCAGATCCTCAATTTAAAGTAGATTTTCAGCTAGCCCAAAGTTACTATTTCTGTTGTACAACAATGTGGACTTTGGGGGGGGTCTCAAATGCAGCCCTTGACACCAAAGGGCCGTACATAAAATGCCATGAATATTCAATGTCAGAGACAGCAGACATACAACAGGACTTAGTCAAAGACTAATAGCATGATACAGTCAATGGTCAAAACCTGCAGACATATTACAAGGGATGGTTAAAGACTAGGGGCAGGATGCAAGAGATGGTCAGCGACTGCGGGGATTATACAAGAGATGGTCAGCGACTGCGGGGATTATACAAGAGATGGTCAGAGACTGCGGGGATTATACAAGAGATGGTCAGAGACTGCGGGGATTATACAAGAGATGGTCAGAGACTGCGGGGATTATACAAGAGATGGTCAGAGACTGAGGGGATTATACAAGAGATGGTCAGAGACTGTGGGGATTATACAAGAGATGGTCAGAGGCTGTGGGATAATACAAGAGATGGTCAGAGACTGCGGGGATTATACAAGAGATGGTCGGAGACTGCGGGGATTATACAAGAGATGGTCAGAGACTGTGCGGATTATACAGAGATGGTCAGAGAATGCGGGGATTATACAAGAGATGGTCAGAGAATGCGGGGATTATACAAGAGATGGTCAGAGACTGCAGACATGATACAAGACTGCTAAAAATCACAGCTTTAACGGGGCAATAGAGAAGCACCGATTAGTGCCTGCAGGGACCTCAGTGCCGCACAAAAGTTCCAAAGGGCTACATGAGGTTGGCTGAGCACCAGTGTAATAAGTGGTGTTGTAGTTCAGCAGCAGTACTGGTGACTTGCCATTTATTGGTGTAAATAGTCGGCTGAGAGCATCTTCACCATTCAGGACTAAACCTGTCATTTTATCAATAAATACAAGTCTTCCTCTGATTGGCGGAGGTGAAAATCTTGTAGTCATCTGTGTGCCTTTCCACCTCAGCAAATTAGAATAAGCCTTTAAAAAAAAAAAAAACCCACCACTCACCCCGACTCTCTTTTATATCTGGCAGCAGACGGGAAGTCACATATGCTGCTGCCAGATCATAACACTGCTTACTGTATGTAGCAAATGCTACCACCATCTATTAAGGCACACACATCAGCCACATCATTAGGAAACAGAAATAGTTCACTTGGGGCAGGTTGGCCTAAACAATTTAAAGTGATACTAAGCTGAAATTTTACTTTAAATCAGTTACTTTAAAAGGTGATGGAAACCTTTATATATATTACTGAAAATGTTACCAATTCCATTCTTGCATAAACTGCATATTAACCTTAGTTCCTGATAAAAGAAACAAGCTAAATGTATGTCTACCACACTTTCCATATCAACGTCTGGCCTCGAATTGACAGTAGCCATGTTGTACCTGATAATTCTGCAGTAGAATTAGGCTGAGATAGAACTCGCTGAATGCCAGTTTCAGGTCCCTGATATTTCTGTGCTGGACCCGCTCCTCATGTGAAAGGGTGAATACAGCTTTTCTACGATGCCGGAGGGTTGGCAACCGGCTGCTTTCCCTTTGTGCATCCAGGGAGGATTGCAGCTCATTTTGTAGAGTGGCTGAGCGTCGCTGAGCTTCTGCTAACTTTTCTGCAATGAAAAAAAAAAACAGTAACTGAGAGATGCAATGTGGGCATACATGTCTTGTTGCTTTCATCAGAACCCTAACAGTGGTTGCTTCCAACAGCTGTGAAGGCACCATAGCCAATAGACTGAAGTCAATAGACAAGATGTTTCAGGGGAGCTGGAGATCCACAAGTTGTCTAGACCTAAATGAGATCTCTAGATGTTCACAGTTCAATTACCTGAATAAAATGTGTTGATTTTGGCAAGTTCTTTCTCGCACGTCTGGAAAAATTTTTCTTCAAACTTGGCATAATATCGTTTTACATTATCCTCGTCTGTAACTGCAGGAGAAAAAAAAAAAGTAAAGAACAAGACTGTAAGAATATATCCCCTGATAAAGCATCAACGATCGCATGTATTAAAAGGAGAACTCAACTTTAAACTACCTTACGCTTTAACGTTCTAATCTGAAAGTACACAAATACAAATAAAACCCCTAATAGGTGCACAATGTACCTTGAGGGTTAGGGACTGATGTGAATGTAATATGTAAAAATAACAAAAAAAAATTATAAATTATATATATATATTAGTGTGTGTGCACGTGAGCCTAACATGCTGCTTAAATTGACAGAGCTATATAAATACCTGAAATAAATTAATGTAGACATTATTCCTGCACCCCTCACACACAGCCACTGTCTCGCACATTGCATGTGAAAGTCTCACTTTCCTAATGTGCCTAGGACTATGGCTATCCATGTCTGCAAGCCTTGCCAAAGGAAATTATTATTTCCCAACAGTTAGGGACGATTTCACAACTACCTTCCAACTCTCTCTTGCCTTTGAGCTACAAAACATGTATACATTTTAATCTCCGAAAACGGATTTGCTGTTCACGGGTGACTCCCAAAAATATATATCTAAATCGTCGAATTAGTCATTACATATCTGACTGCTTTTTCTTATCTGATGCAATTACAAAGTCTACCCTGAAGCAGAAGGCACTCATGTATGCCACTAACTTCCCAAGGCCAATCACTTAGAAATTACGGGTGCAGAGAATATGGGTGGCCTTGGATATACATATATTACAACAATAGCATGCAGACAAGGGTACCTATAGAAATAAAGGTCTTTCCATGGCAGTAGACAGATAAAACTTGTTCACATAGAAACAGAAATGATTCACTAAAGCATAACAGATGAATATGTACAGTATGTTCCAATCAGTCTGCAGACTGCTTATAATATATTAGAATGTAATATAATTCTAAGAAAGACACTTTGTAGGCAACTGCATTATAAAACACATTCATTCTTCCACTTATGCTAATGTGTAAAATAAAACGTATCTGTGTGAAGAAGAAGTAAGAACACAAAATAAGATGCAGGGGAGACTAGTAGGAAACAGACAATAATCCCCCCTCCCCCCCCGCACAATTATGAACATTTTAATGTATTTAAAGTTGTAAACCTAAAATCCTTGTTTTACAAATCTAGGTTAGGAAATTTCTCCAAAAACAAATTATAGAGAAGAGTATAAAAAAGCTTCCAGATTCTTTTACTCTACACCCTTTAGTCCTAGGTCATGTGACTGCATTGCTCTCTCTCAGATCCGATCGATTTGGGCGGTAGTAGGCAGGACCTGGCTGCCTTGCAGTGAATTGCAGTAACAGGAGGAGCTGTCAAACACTCTTTCCTGTGCTGTCCATCCCACAGCTGCCTACAATTCCAGAAGCACTGTCCGATTGAATGGGTCAAGTGACCCTAAGCTCCGGTTTAAAAAAAAAAAAAAAAATCAATTCCTTAAATTGGTTCTAAAGCCTTTAGGTTTTCATCTTATTGCATTCTATGCATTAAGGTGAAAAAACGTCTGTGCTGCACAATCCCCCCCAAGTTCCCCCCCCCCCACACCTTATTCTTACCTGGGCTGATCCAATCCAGCAATGTGCACAAGAGCAGCAGCTCTCGCTACGGTCTCCATGCTCCCTGGGCAGAGCGATAGCACCATTGGCTCCCGCTGCTATCAAATAGTGTACCGAGGGAGCGGGGGTCGAGCTGCCCCCATTGTGTCAATGGACGGAGACAAGGTGGCTCAGGAGCAAGCCCGCACGGGTGCCCGCCGAAGTGGAGGGGCCAGGAGCACTGGTGGGGGACCCCAGAAGAGGAGGATCTGGGCTGCTCGGTGCAAAATGATTGCAAAAAGCAAGTATAACAGGTTTGTTATTTTAATTTTAAAAATTAAAAAAACGAAGCTTTAATGTCACTTTAAGCATGTATTCTTAAAGTGGTAGTAAACTGTCCTAACTAAAAAAAAAAGAAAAGAAATTCAGACAGGGTTTTTATAACAGAAGAAACTCTAGAAGTTTCTACTGTCATAAATGAAGCCCCTGCCTATCAGCGGGTATTGCAATCTGAGCCATGCATGTGCAGCTCAAACTGCATTTTCGGCCCACTCTGCGTGCCACAGCGAAGTGATTCCCATGCGAGTGCAGGAGTGACGTCAACGCAGCCTGGGCAATCAAGCAGACAAACATTTAGAACTTGTAAGGAAGGCAGAGTTAACATGAAAGCACCATGGGCCAGAGAGCCATGACCGCCCAGAGCTGGACAGCTCCGTCTGTAGGTAAGTCTTTCATAATTTACTAGTATGAATTGCATACTTGTACATTATGACCTTAAGTTCCCAAACCAACAAGGGGGCCCTTTTTTTTTTATTTTTGATGACGGTTTAACTACCGCTTTAAATAAAAAAAAGCAACTTCTTCTATTTTGCTGGTGTGAGCTGACTCCCTATTAGAGGGTGGCTACGTTCGTTCTCCATAATCCCACTGTATGTAGAAACATAGCCACCTTCTCTTCCTCACTACTGAGATGGACTATGGGATTTGTAATGTGCACAGAGCAGTGCACTTGAACCCAACTAGAGTGGACTGCTCCTTGATGTTTCCACTGCCTTTGACACAGTCGACCACCCGCTCCTCCTCAGTAAACTCCACTCCATCGGCCTCTGTGACTCAGCTCTCTCCCTGGTTCTCCTCTTACCTTTCTCAGCGCACTTTCAGTGTCACATACAACTCCTCCTCCTCCACTCCTCTTCCTCCTTCTGCTGGGGTACCCCAAGGTTCTGTTCTTGGGACCCTCCTTTTCTCTCTCTATACCTCCTCCTCCTGGGCCAACTGATAACCTCCCATGGCTTCCAATACCACCTCTATGCTGATGACACCCAGATCTATCTCTCCACTCCCCAGTTCAACCCCGCAGTCTCCTCACGTATCACAAATCTACTAAGCGACATATCAGCATGGATGTCACATCACTACCTTAAACTCAATCTTTCAAAAACTGAGCTTGTAATATTTCCTCCTCCCCGATCCCCCACTCATGACTTTACCATTAAGATCAACAGCACAACCATTGGTCCTTCCCCTCATGCCAGGGTGCTAGGCGTAATCCTAGACTCTGACCTCTCCTTTGGGCCCCACATCCACTCACTGGCTAAATCCTGCCTCCGGAACATTTCCAAAATCCGCCCCTTCCTGACCAATGACGCCACAAAACAACTTATCCACGCCTTGGTTATATCCCGCCTCGATTACTGCAAGTCCCTCCTCACTGGTTTACCGTTACACAGGCTATCCCCCCTTCAGTCTATTATGAATGCTGCTGCTAGACTCATTTATCTTACCAACCAATCAGCGACTGCTGCCCTTCTCTGCCAATCCCTTCACTGGCTTCCACTAACCCAACGTATAAACTTCAAAATACTAACCACAGCTTACAAAGCCATCCACAACACTGCCCCTAGCTACATCACCAACCTCATCCACAGACACCGCCCAAATCCCCCACTCCGTTCCTCCCACGATATCCTCTCTAGCTCCCTCATCACCTTCTCCTACGCTCGCCTCCAGGACTTCTCCAGAGCCTCTCCCATCCTCTGGAACTCCCTACCACAGCATGTCCAGTCAGCCCCCACCCTGTCTGCCTTTAAGCGATCTTTGAAAACTCACTTCCTCAGGGAAGCCTACCCCACCTCCACCACATCATCCCCCGCAGCTATCGCCTTTTGTATCACCTCCCCCTTCCTTTAGATTGTAAGCTCCACAAGCAGGGCCCTCACATTCCTTCTGTACTGAAATGTATTGTAATTGTACTGTCTCCTTTATATTGTAAAGAGCTGCGCAAACTGTTGGCGCTATATAAATCCTGTATAATAATAATAATGCAAACAGACATTAAAGGGAAAAGGAGGTGTTCGGGAGCTCATGTTACATGGAAGCAGAAAAACACAGCAAGAAGCAATTTAATGAAAAATAGTTTACAGGATTATTAAGCAGTGGATGTATGTAAGTTATTTTTGAGAATTAGGCTGGCCAAACATTATACAATTTTCTTGAGAATTTTGCTGTAGATTTATCAAAAACCATATAATATGAGGTCAAACCTAAACAACACTTTCAATTGTATCCAATTAGGCAGGGCCTTGCTCTACATAGTTGAAGGTAAATCTACAGGAAATTGGGCAGAAATTGGAAAGAAAAATTGTACAGTGTATGGCCAGCCTAAGGATAGCATTTAGCATCACTTAAGAGTATGAGATTGACAGTGGTTCCTCCTGTCAATGTCATTCACAGCAGGGAAGAGTGGTACCGGTGCACTGTCCAGGCCATTTTGATCATGAAACAGCAAAGCTGTAGATTTTTTTCTTTGCAACATGGGCAACACTGTAGAGGGTAGACCTCACGGATTGTTGGAACCACCATCAACAAGCAAAAGAAGGTGACTGGCATGGTCGACAGGTATTTTATCAGAAATCTATTTAAAAAAAAAAGTCACACAATGTTCTAGAAATGTGTTGTATAGACTAAAATTTTTCATTCCTTCAGATTAATGGGTGTAGGCCACAAAATAATTGAAATAGAATGTGGAGATGATACCATTTTAGATTTTGACTTTAGGCCAATTTAAAACAAATTTAAATTCTGTCTCCTATCGTTTAAACCCTACTACCTTAGAGTTAGGCCACTTTCACACGGCGAATCTACTTTGCTCAGCAGGGGATCTGTCCGCAGATCCACTGCAGAGTAGAGCAGAGCGGGCGGATGACAGGTCTATGTCTGCTCAGTTTTTGTGGAGCAGACACAGACCGAGCACACTGCTCTTTGAGAGGTCAGGTATAAACGGGCTGGCTGTCCATTTATACCCAACTACCTCTGATCCAATCCACCTACATGGAAGAGGATAGATCCTCTTCCGTTTTGTTTATAGCAAACCGGATCGGAGGTGGATGGGTGTAAAGGGACACAATTTACATTTAGACATGCCGGTCCATAGAGATGAATGGA